GGACTGGCTTCATGGGTGTGCAGTCAATTCAGTCTAATCAGTGTGGTTCAAAGAGCCAGTCAAACTGCCCCATGCTTGAAATTCTTAATTTTTTTTCTTTAAGTTTGTCTCATAAGTGAAGTCTGTTGGGACCAAGGAGCACATGAAGGGGCCTTGGAGCCAGGCTCCAGGGGGGTCTCACCTTCTACTTCCTCCCTGGTGCTATGGCTCACTCTGGAAGCCTTGGGGTTTCTCTCTACCCTCCTTAACCCCACGCAACCACAGGTGGTTAAGGTCAGAACCCTCTGAATCTCAGGGCAAGGCAGCATATTAGGCAGGCATGTAGGCGAGGGCCTCCTACCCACACCCTCTTTGCAGCAAAGTTGCAATCCATTAGGATTGGGGAAAAGAAGATTGACTTCTGTACTTTGGTCCAGGCCCTGGTCCAAAATTTTGCACTGATCTTGACAAATTGTGTGGGTAACATCATTATTCCATTTTACAAAGAAGGAAACTTGAATCAGGACAGTGTATCTTTTGAGCCTATTCTCAGCTTCTCTTTTTAAATAACTTTATATATAAAATGTCATAATAGGGACTATGTAGATTATTTTTTAATTAGTCAGTTTAAAGAAAGTAGTAAGTGCTAGGCTTGGTGGCACATACCTGTAATCTGAGCAACTCAGGAGGCTGAGGCAAGAGGATTGCAAATTCCAAGCCAACTACAGCAATTTAACGAGGCCCTAAGCAGTTTAGCAAGAGGACAGTTTCCTCAAGAGACAGAAATGCATGTAGTTAAAACTGTCCTATCTTGGGGTGGGGATGTGGCTCAAGCAGTAGCACACTCGCCTGGCATGCGTGCCGACCGGGTTCGATCCTCAGCACCACATACAAACAAAGATGTTGTGTCTGCCAAAAACTAAAAAAATAAATATTAAAAATTCTCTCTCTCTCTCTCTCTCAAAAAAAAAAAAAAAAAAAAAAACTGTCCTATCTTAAAATAAAATATAAAAAGAAATCAGAATGTGGCTTAGTAGTTAAGCATCGCTGAGTTCAACCACTGTAATTTGCATTGTGTGTGTGTTTGTGTGTTTGTTTTTGTTTTGTTTTGTTTTGTTTTTAACTGGGACATGAACCCAGGGGTGCCCTACCACTATGGTAGGTCTCCAGCACTATTTATTATAATAAATAAATAATGAACTGCTGTGCTCAATCTGGCCAAAATTATGAACATGACTTCCAAAGGACTGAAATTCAAATAACTATAGGGATGAGCAGTGTGGCTGGTCCCAAAAGGTCACCAGGAACTGAAGCCATCAGGTGGGACAAGAAGGAAATGGGCCCTGCACAGCACATTCTGCAGAGGCCTCCGAGAAGTAAATTGGAAGAAAGAGTATTCCACTTGATCCAGGACCAGGGCCACAGCTGGCTAATCCAAGTAATAAGGACAGTAAGAGTTTTCAGAGAGCAGTTTAGGAGTGGAGATGGTTGAATGTGAGTAGCACCCCTGCCAGATAACATTTTTTCAGAAGCAGTTTTAAAGGACTCTTGGATAATGCTTTGAATGCTTGTTTTAAAATGTTATCCAAAAGGCTGGGTATGGTGCTTGCCTGTAATCCCAGTGACTCAGGAGGTTCAGGCAGGAAGATTGCAAGTTTGAAGCCAGCCTCAGCTACTTAGTGAGGCCCTGTCTCAAAATTTAAAAAAATAAAAATAAAAAGGGCTGTAAGTGTAACTCAATGATAAAGCATCCTTGAGTTAAATCCCCAGTTCAAAAAAAAAAAAAAAAACAGTTAAAGTTATCCAATGTGGGATCTGGGCCCCACAGGGATTGTGTTGTCCACAGTTATTCTGTATTTTTGGGGGGGTGGGGGCGGAGGGGGCTGTTGTTAAAGAAATACACATAGTTTTAAAAAAAAAATCCAAACACATAAAAGAACATTCAACATATTATATTCCTTCCCCAAAACTGCCTTCAGCACTATTGTTTCTTTCCAAGTGTCTTTGCATATAGCCTGAGTACTTTCTTCTCCCAACACACTAATTTCATACAAACAGGATGAGACCTCCTAAAGGATGAGTAATGTTTTACGCGTACATACTCATATGAATGTGCTCATGTGAGAAGTCATTAACAAAACAAAAACTAAAAACATAACATTAGTTAGCTGTATATTTCTCATTAGGTTGGTAGTACATATCATGCTTTTTTCTGTTACCTTCCATGACAAATTTTATTTTCCATGTGTCAAAAGGCCCCTGCATAATTGATGCAGCTCCTTCCAAAGTGAAGCACACTTTTTCCCTTTCCTCTTGGCAAACTCCTTAAGTTAGCCACAGAGATAAGTGAAATCTAGGCAAGTACAGAAATGTTTTATTATCAATTCCTTACACAATAACACCACTGTATTAAAAGATTATGCAAGACACCAAAGGGTTACTCACAACTCAAAAAAGTTTATAAAGAATTTGTTACCAAAAGCTCAGTCCTTGTCTCTGATGCCAATCCAATAATAAGGAGATCATTTTGAGAAAAAAAGAAAAAGGTTTATTGCTTTGCTAGCAAAGAAGAAGCACAGCCCTGTCCCAGAGGCTGTGATTCTGCACATCAAGGAGCAGGAGACTTTTAAGAGGTGAATCAAAGGCTACATTCCACCTGTTCTCTGTTGGAGTTGTAATTTACTTAGGAGATAGTCATTTCTGAGATCTGGTGCCATCCCCAAAGTCTGGATTACTTCATTCCTATGGTGGATGTATGCTCAAGGACAGATAAATCTGCCTAGGGTGGGGAAGAAAGGTAATCCTGTTTCCCCTGAGATTAGGGACAGAGAGATTAGGGAGGAGCAGGGAAAGAGGGAGAGAAAGAAACATGTCCATTTTAAAAATAAATTGCAGTGACAGAGCAGCAAGGTATATTCAAAGGATAACATGGACCACTGTAAGAAATTCCATCACTTTTCTGTAACAGAAACCAACGAAAAGAATCCCTAAAATTCCTTGAGATTGGACATGTTTTTTTCTAATTCAATCTTTCTTCAGATTTACTCCTTTAGATGACAGGCCTGGACCCTGTAAAATAGTCAAGATTGATATCCCCGATCAGATCATTTGGTAATTCAAAAAGTGTAGAGCTTTGTGATGTTCTGTAAATTGCATTGTGTGTGTGTTTGTTTTTGTTTTGTTTTAACTAGGACATGAACCCAGGGGTGCCCTACCACTATGGTAGGTCTCCAGCACTATTTATTTATTTAAATTTTGAGACAGGGTCTTGCTAAATTGCCTAGGCTGACCTTGAATTTTCAATCCTACTGCCTCAGCCTCTCAAATCCCTGGAATTACAGGTGTGAGCCACTACACACCCACCATTAAACTACTTTTTTTTTTGGGGGGGGGCACCAGGGATTGAACTCAGGGGCCCACTTGAACACTGAGCCACATCTCCATCCCTGTTTTGTATTTTATTTAAAGATAAGGTCTCCCTGAGTTGCTTAGTGCCTTGCTTTTGCTGAGGCTGGCTTTGAACTCCTGATCCTCCTGTCTTGGTCTCCCAAGCTTCTGAGATTACAGGCATGTGCCATCTCGCCCTAACCATTTAAACTACTTTTAAAGGAGTTTAGTTTGGCCAAGATCACAAATCTGGAAAATTTGAATGGCCAAAAGATTGTTCAAGTTCATATTTTTTTTCTTTTGGGGGGGCACTGAAGATTGAACCTGAGATACTGTACCATTGAACTACATTCCCAGCCCTTTTTATTTTCTATTTTGAGACAGGGTTTTGCTGAGTTGCTAAGGGTCTCACTAAATTGCTGAGGCTGACCTCAAACTTGCAATCCTCCTGCCTCAGTGACTCGGATTGCTGGGATTATACCTATGCTCTTAATTTCCATGATCCTCTATACTGAATAGAAATGGAAATTGGTACTGAAAAAACAAGGGATGTGTGAGGTGATTGCAAATACTGCTGTGCAGAAACAGTGGAAAAAGCTACTGCCACCCAGCTCCAACTGCCTGGGACGCTGGTCTTATGTTTTTGTTCATGTGATTTCTTAAAAGACTCCATCTTTGAGAGCTGGGGGTATGGTTCCGCGGTAAAGTGCTTGCCTATCATGCACAAAACCCTGGGTTTAATCCCTAGAACCAGGGCAGTGGGGGGAGAACACTGCAGCTTTTACAGTTGACACATAAAATTCATCATATTTTGAAGTTATTCAGAAAACATTTTCTGCTTTATTGTAAATATTGACCTTTAAAAATAAAGCTGATACAGGTTTCCTTGAGTGAATCAATTGGTATATAAATACCTTAATGATTTGATAAGCACCGTTGTCCCTGTTTTTTTTTTTTTTTTTTTTTTTTTTTTTTTGGTGTAGGGGATTCAACCCAAGAGTGCTTATACACTGAGCCACATCCCTAGCCCTTTATTTATTTATTGAGACTGGGTCTCATTAAGTTGCTTAAGTCCTTGCTAACTTTCTAAAGCTGGCTTTGAAGTTGCCATCCTGCTGTCTCAGCCTTCCAAGTCACTGGGATTGTAGACCTGTACCATCATGCCTGGCTCCATCATCCATTTTCCCACTTATTCCTTGAACTTGAATTTCCATACTACTGCTGCAATAGAATTTTATCTTAATATACCAAGATTTATGATAGGTTGTCCAGCAATATTTGTAAAAAATATTGCTGGATAACTTATCATAAATCTTGGCAAAAATATGTAAATAAGTCAAAATTTTATATATTTTTCTTATAACTAAAGCTTAAGTATATAAAGATTTTTGTCTCCTGGAATGAATTACCATTAAAGCTATTAGTGATGTTTCATTGATAAAAGGAATGTAATTTTTCTAAATTATTATTAAACATGAATAAATTTGTCTTTACATCTCCTAACAAGCTGAATAGTGCTGAATGATGTTGAATGGTGTTGATTTTTTCCTTAGTATGTATGATTGACTTACTGCTAAAATAGGATAGAATTCACCATCAAATTTAGACCTATTTTTTTGTTTTGTTTTTTATAGATGTGATCACTGAGATATCTGCTATACATAAATAAGAAATAGAAATGGAGTTTTGTTATAACAGTATTGCTCATCTTTGAACTCCTTCCAAGCTATATACTACATAGCATTGCTCTAATATCAAAAGTTATTTTTGCTCCTTTCAACAAAGAAAGCAAATAATTGAAAATTACCTGCCTTGCAAAAGTATGCAATCTGGATATATCCAAGAAATATCGCACCAGGCCTGGTGGTGGACACCCATAATCCCAGCGACTTGGGAGGTTGAAGCAAAGGATCACAAGTTCAAGACCAACCTTGGCATAATTTAGCAACACCCTGTCTCAGAAATGAAAAGAGGTATAGTTCAGTGGTAGACCTGGATTCAAAACCCCGAACCACCAAAAAAAAAAAAAAAAAATTCAACTTCTAGCAATATACCAAAAAAAAAAAAAAAAAGCTCTTCTAAGACTTGTCAAATGATAATTAGGCACCATGTTTAACCCAGAATACTCTGGATGGTTGTGGACATGTAAATATTGCTTATTTCATTACACTTTTGCCAATGGAATATATTTTGATGAACAGTTTTTTAGCTTATTGTACCTTAAATCCATTTTCATCGAAAACTTGAAGCTATAGTTTTGGCTCAATTTGTGGAAAATGTCAATCAAGTTAATGGCACATCATAGAGATACATATAGAACTGACTAAAACTTAAATAATAGTCTCCCCTTATGCACAGTTTCACTTTGTGACTTCAGTTACCTGCAATCAACTGTGGTCTGAAAATATTAAATGGAAAATTACAAAACTAGATACTTTATAAATTTTAAATAACTTATTACAGTTTATTATTATAATTATTCTATTTCTTACTGTGCCTGCTTTATACATTAAACTATCATAGGTATGTATGTATAAGAAAAAACATAGTATGTATAGGGTTTGGTACTATTTTTTTTTTTTTTGGAAAGGAAAGGACATTTATTGAACATCTGCTATTGCACTCCATGCATTATTTACATACATAGTTTCATTTAATCCTCATATTACATAAAGATGCACTATTATCCCAGCTTGTTCATGAGAATAGTGAGCTTTTTTTTTTAATTTTTTATTGTTGGCTGTTCAAAATATTACATAGTTCTTGATATATCATATTTCACACTTTGATTCAAGTGGGTTATGAACTCCCATTTTTACCCCATATACAGATTGCAGAATCACATCAGTTACACATCCATTGATTTACATATTGCCATACTAGTGTCTGTTGTGTTCTGCTGCCTTTCCTATCCTCTACTATCCCCCCTCCCCTCCCCTCTTCTCTCTCTGCCCCCTCTACTGACATTCATTTGTCCCCCTTGTATTATTTTTCCCTTTCCCCTCACTTCCTCTTGTATGTACTTTTGTATAACCCTGAGGGTCTCCTTCCATTTCCATGCAATTTCCCTTCTCTCTCCCTTTCCCTCCCACCTCTCATCCCTGTTTAATGTTAATCTTCTTCTCATGCTCTTCGACCCTACTCTGTTCTTAGTTACTCTCCTTATATCAAAGAAGACATTTGGCATTTGTTTTTTAGGGATTGGCTAGCTTCACTTAGCATAATCTGCTCTAATGCCATCCATTTCCCTGTAAATTCTATGATTTTGTCATTTTTTAATGCAGAGTAATACTCCATTGTGTATAAATGCCACATTTTTTTATCCATTCATCTATTGAAGGGCATCTAGGTTGGTTCCACAGTCTTGCTATTGTGAATTGTGCTGCTATGAACATCGATGTAGCAGTGTCCCTGTAGCATGCTCTTTTTAGGTCTTTAGGGAATAGACCGAGAAGGGGAATAGCTGGGTCAAATGGTGGCTCCATTCCCAGCTTTCCAAGAAATCTCCATACTGCTTTGGGTTTGGTACTATTGAGGTTTCAGACATCCTTGGAACATCTTGGATCATATGTCTCACAGATAAGGAGGGACATTGTATTTGTGGGAAGTACATTAAGCAATAAGAGATTGGAAATTCTTCACATTTTTTTGGTGACTTGATTAATCATCAAAGGAGGCTTCACCTCCTTTTAGTATGGGAGATATTCTGCACCTTAGGTCACTGCATAAAGGCAAGTTATGGGATGGGAAATGAATTGTCTTTCTATAAAATGAGAAGGGGAAGAAACTGCCTGTGAAACCTGAGGATATGGAAATTGAGTTCCTTAAAATATCGGGGTATGACCAGTCCTTGGCAAGACTTACCCTATATGTATCTGATATGAAAACTACTAGCTTATAGAACTGGGATTGGTGTCTTTAATTTAAAAGATAAATCTTTACAAACTGTTTCTGTGATAGTTGATGGTTTCTCCCTTCTCTTGAAGAGATTTTACAATTTTTATTTCCTTTTTCATTTCTAATCATCACTTCATTAAAAATTTTTTAAATTTATAAATTTAATAAACAAGGTTCTCTAAAAATTTAAACATAATTATACCACCCATATCCAAATGCTTTGCTTAACCTATGTTTTCCTCTTCACAACCAAGATAAAATGATTATACTGTCTTTCCCAGCAGCTCTCTCCCTATCTTCTTGGGTTTTGCAGATATAGAGTCCCAGATATCACCCTATTTTCTTAAGACCTTCATTAAAGTTCAGTCATAACAGCATCATTTTTTTTAGATTTAAATAGTTTTACTTATAGCTATACAAAAGAGTTTGTGTACATGTGTATACATGTTCTTTTAACTATATGTCCATATTAATGCAGTATCTGGAGTACAGGGCAAACAATTCTGTACAAAAATTAGAAGATGGAACAAGCAATTCACAAAGAAATGCTAGGAGGCAATGAACTTATGAAAAAGGGCTTAACCTCAGTAGTAATCAGCTGCAAACTGAAACAATACCATATCCTCTTCCCCACCCCGCGCGCCTCAGCCAAACTGGGAAAGTGAAAACATTGAATGATGGCATAGGTGCGGTGAAAGGGGTGCTTCGGCCCCCAGGGAGAGCCCCCTTCGCACCTGAGTTTAGTTTTCCTGATGGGGCTCTGAATTTCGGATCTAAATTTTTTATTTCTGGCATGGCAGTTTTCTAGGTTGCGAGAGCATTTGGTAGGCACTTGTCATAGATGTCGGTATGTAGCTGATTTGATTTTGACATTTTAGAAAATATATATTTAGCTGTAGATTGACACTATGTATGTTATGTATGCGGTGCTGAGGATGGAACCCAGTGCCTCACACATGCTAGGCAAGCACACTACCACTGAGCCACAGTCCCAGCTCTGATTCTGACATTTTTTTATCTCCCTCTCCACAAAAATTGTGTTTAAAACTGAGAACTGCCCACTAGTTGTGGAAGAAAGTTCGTTGACAGGAATTTGAGTCAGGAACTGGGGGAAAGAATGCTTCCCTACTGCGACCCAGCCCACACCACCGAACAAAAGAACCCCGGGAGCAGCCTGTGTGGCTTGGAGTCTGCCGGATCCCTGCCGCCATACGGCGCGCATGCGTCGCCCAGTCCCCTTGAGCTGAATTTTTCCAGTAGCAATACTCACAGAACAGTCGCTTTCCCAGCAACACCTCTAGCTTGGGGCAGGGCTTCCTGGAGTTTGCACCCTTTCATTGGTTGGAAATGGAATAAGGAGAGACCAATTGCCGTGAGTCTTGGTAGAGCTGTCGCCCTAGCAACGCGCGGAGCCCCCTGGGAGAGGCTTCTGAAGTAGGAAGCCCTACATTTTTTCTGACCTAAGGCCCTGGCGGTGCAGGTGGGACTCTGGCCTCTAGAAATCAGTGACCCGATGACTGCGAACCCCAGTTACCTGCAACTCGGCACGTTCGCACCCTGAGCATACCGTCTGACTCCCTGCTTTGTTTGTCTTCCCTCCATTATCCAGCCTCAAATCCCCCATTCCTGGAACACACACAGTCCACTCACGAAGCTCTCCCTGCTTGTGCCCCACAGCTTCCAAGGGCCAGATGATGGAGGAGCGTGCCAACTTGATGCACATGATGAAACTCAGCATCAAGGTCTTGCTCCAGTCTGCTCTGAGCCTGGGTCGCAGCCTGGATGCGGACCATGCCCCCTTGCAGCAATTTTTTGTAGTGATGGAACACTGCCTCAAACATGGGCTGAAAGGTGAGCCTGAGGGGGCGTTCGGGAGTGTGGAAATGTGGGTTAGGTGTTTCCTCATCATTTTTCACCAGTGCCCAACATTGTTCTTAGTGAAGGGATAACAGCAGAATACAGAAGAACTTCCTGCCCTCGAGAAGCAGCATTCTTTCTAGAGCAGTGCTGTCTAAAAGAAATGTTCTGTAAGCCACATAGGCATTTTAAAATTTTATGCTAGGCACGTTTAAAAGTAAAAAGAAACAGCTAAAACTAATATCAGTAGTGCATTTTGTTGAACCCTGTAATGTCCACAGTGTTATCATGTTGACACATAATCATTATTTTGAAGCCTTATTAATGTCATATTTTGCATTCTTTATCCTAAGGCTTAAAATAAGTCCATTGTGTATTACACTTATAGCACATCTCAATTCAGTTCCTCAATTTTACTTAGCCATGCTGCAAGTGCTCACTCTGTAGGTAGCATATGTGGCTAGTGATTGCTTTGGACAGCAAAATTCTAGAGGATAAGAAGAGAGTAAATGTTTAAACAGTTACAGAATGCTATAAATTCAAGAAAGTAGAATCAAGGAAGGAAACTTTCAGCTACTGTGGAGAAGTTAAACAGTCCTACAAAGATTTGAGGCAAGAACATTCCTAGCACAGGAGAAAAAAACAACAATACCACCAACAACATGTAGAGCTCCTGAATGTGACCAACCTTGGTTTGAGGAAAACTGATAATTGAAGCATGCTGAGAGGGAAACTGAAATGAGATGAGGTCAGGGAAGTGAGAAGGGGTTGAATAACTTATGCCTTTAGAGGTCATGATAAGGAGTTTGATTTAATTCTATGTGTATTTGGGGGATTTTAAACAAGGAAGAAACATGATCTAACTTGTATTTTTAAAAGAACTTCTAGCTATGTATATTCAAAACAGACTGGAAGAGTGGGAAGGTAATGATATGAAGAGTAAGGAGACCAACAATTATTACAGCAGTTTGGGTTTTAAAAAAAAAAAAAGCAGAAGAAGAAAAAGATTGAATCAGAAGGATTAAGCAGTGAAGCTCTGCAACTTTCTATTACCTTTTGGGAGAAGAAATTTTGCAACCTGTTCTTATGAATAACGCTTTTGTTTTCCCTTTTAGTTAAGAAGAGTTTTATTGGCCAAAATAAATCTTTCTTTGGTCCTTTGGAGCTGGTGGAGAAACTTTGTCCAGAAGCATCAGATATAGCTACTAGTGTCAGAAATCTGCCAGAATTAAAGTGAGTGAGAAATAGTTTTACTAATTTGATATTTAAAAAAAAAAATCTCCCTTCTGTTTACCCATTTCTCAGTTCCTTGCTAATGAAACTTTTTCTAATTTGAAACAAATTATAGCATTAACCACATTCAATTTAGACTTTTAAGCTCTGTTGCTCATTATGTACATGATCTTCAGCAAGATTTACACCTTTCTGAGCCTCAGTTTCCTTTTCTTTAACATGAGGACAGTGATTCCTATTTGCTATGCAAGTCAAATAGGTTATGAAGACATTGTCAACCAAAGAACAGGAGGAAAAGGAATTGTTACTCTCCTAGAATCTATTTTAAATATATTTGAGCAGTTTGAATAATACAATTCAGGCCATATTTTAGATTCCAGGACAAGGGGCATTTGTGAACAGGCTGGGACCAACAGATTATTATGACTAGCTATGCCCTTGGGACTGCTATACATAGGCTTAAGATCAAAAACTAGGCAAAACACACACAAGGCATTGTCATGGAATCTGGCATTTAGAAGGGACCTTAGGGATTTTTACACTGATGTAAAACTTGTCTTTTAAGCCTTTTTTTGACACTTCTGTGGAACCAGCCTATGCCATTTTCAGTAATAATAACAGCTGCCACCCTAAGGATCTGCTACATGCTACATTGTACTGAGGACATTTCACTGTCTAATTCTGCATACCCATCTTCTAGGATAGCTGTTGACATCCCCATTTGCTAGTGTGGAAACTGAGACTTAGAGTGTTTAAGTGACTTGTCCATTGTTCCTTGGCAAGGGAGTGGTGCAGCCAGGAGGATCAGTTGAATTCTAAATCATTTAAGTTCCACTAAACTTCATTGCTGCTGAGCCCTGTGCATTCTTCTTAAGATTGGACTTAAGCCTTCTGTCCCTATCCCTAGTTCAACCTTCTGGCCTATACCACATAAGTTTTAAAGTTTTTGCAGACCCTGCTTTTCAAGTGTTTGTTTGATGACTCTCCCACCATATGTTGGAAATAGAATCCAGGGCCTCACACCCCCCAACCCTAAGGCATTTCTGAAGTCTTATTTTACTTAGAGCATACTCTCACCCAAATTTACCACATCTATTTCCTTGTTAATTCTGTGGTTGTTAAATAAGCCACAAGCTTATGTATGTCCAAAAAAGATATATAACAGTTCCCCACCTTTTAGAAGGAGGAGCCGTGTTGAGGGCTGTTTTATTTCATAAAGAGCTCCAATGTTTTTACTATTTTATTAAATATTAACAAAAGTTCTAAAATTACTACAGTATTTACAAAGTATTATGGCTTATGTTTTTTGTTTTTGTTTTTTAGGGGTGTGGAGGATTGTTTAAGGTAGTTTGAAACTTATAGGATGAATTTTGCATCCTAGGAGGAATCTCTAGTTTAATACCCCTATCCAATTGACATAAAATATCCCCCCACCTTTTTTTTTGTACCAGAGATTAAACCTGGTGGCACTTAACCAATGAGCCACATCCCCAGCCCTTTTTTGTATTTTATTTAAAGACAGGGTGTCACTGAGTTGCTTAGAACCTTGCTAAATTGCTGAGGCTGGCTTTGAACTCACTATCCTGCCTCAGCCTCCCGAGCTGGTGGGAGTACAGGCATGCACCACCACACCTGGCATAAACTATCTTTTATAGCATGACCTAATATCCAAAATTCTTATTTGTTTTCACCATGGTTTAATTATTGAACATAACTATATATGATAAAAACCACTTGCTCATATTGGCATTTAAACCTAGACAAGCCTTTTCTCTTTTATGAAAATTAAAAATAACTTTTTTTTCCTAAGTGCTAATTTTTCATTGAGACATAAAAACAAGGCCAAGAAAAATTAAAATTTCAAAACTTTCACCTTCCTACTAGCTAGGTAAAAACTTTGGGACTGGGGAGTGTAGCTCAGTGATAAGAGCAGGTGTTTAAATGCACAGGGCCCTGGGTTCCATCCCCAACACAACAATAACAAAGATAATAAAAAACAGAAAATGTTATTAATGTCTTGGTCAGTATCCTTCCAGGTCCTTTTAGTGTATAATTAGCCAAATAGATTTTATACTTTTTTGATTGTCCCAACCCTCACATAGCATCATATTGCACTCATTCTTGTGGAGGATAGCTTGGTACTATCCACCAGAATTACAAATACATCTACCCATTGACCCAGCAATTTCATTTCTAGGCATATTATCCTACAGATGTAATGTGAAAATGACACAGAGTCAGACCTGATGGCACACACTGCCTGAGAGACTGAGGCAGGAAGATAACTTGAGCCAAGAAGTGCCAGACCATCTTAGCAACAGAGAAAAAAAAAAAGAGAGAGAGGGGGAGAGATGCATATAGTATATAGAATTATATTTGACAGTAGATTAGAACCAGCTTATTTTTTTTAAAAAAAGCTAGCTGGGCACCGTGGCAAATGCCTATAATCTCAGCAGTTCTAGAGGCTGAGGCAGGAGGAGGATTGAGAGTTCAAAGCCAGTCTCAGCAAATTAACAAGGCCCTAAGCAACTCAGTAAGAACCTATATTTAAATAAAATGTAAAAAAGTGCTGGGGATGTAGCTCAGTAGTTGAGTGTCCCTGGGTTCAATGCCCTGTATCAAAAAAAACAACAACAAAAAAAAAAACTAAGTAAACAATGGTGCAGTCTAATAATAAAACACTAAAGGTATAGAAAATTGAGTTAAATCGTCTGTGTACTAATATGGGAAGATTTTCAAGATGACAGATAGTCAATGAAATAAGCAAGTTGCAGAACAGCTAATTAGTTTTTTTTTTTTTTTAAGGAGGACAATAAGAGTTCGTGTACTTATTTTCATATGCATAAAATGCTGATATAGGTACCCTATAAATATATGTACTTATTATGTCATTTAACGATATTAATTAAAAAGATGTGAATGAATATTTGATATGGAAAGAAGTTAAAAATCAAATGAAAAAAAACTACAAAACTGTATGTACAGTTCAATACTGACCATTTGTTTTAATATATTTTAGTTGTAGGGTGCTGGGGTTGTGGCTCAGTGGTAGAGCACTTGCCTAGTATTTGTGAAGCACTGGTTTCAATCCCCGGCACCACATAAAATATAAGCACAAACAAATAAAGGTATTGTGTCCATCTACAACTAAAAAAATGTTTTAAAAAATTATATATATTAGTTATAAATGGACACAATACCTTTATTATATTTATTTATTTTTATGTGGTGCTCAGAATCGACCTAGTGCCGCGTGAGAGGCAAATGTTCTACCACTGAAGTCAAACCTGGTAGCACACACTACTCAGCCCACAATACTGACTTTTTTTTTTGAGACAGGGTCTCCCTAAATTGCCAAAACTTGTAATCCCTCTGCTTCAGCCTCCAAGTAGTTGTGATTGTAGACATGTGCCACCAAGCCTGGCTCAAAGCCTTTTTTATTGATGAAATTAGATTAACTTTTCTGAGCCTGGCTTCTGAAATGTAGACTGCATTTGACCTTTGTAGCAAGGTCTTTGGGCCTAAGACCTTCCTTTTATGCAGATTATTGATTACCTTCACTACTTTCTTTGATGTTACAAATGCAGTTGCTGTGCTTAGAAACAATCTTTTTTTCTTTAAGTGGTTTTAGATCTACAATAGGAAGGCATTTTTTCTTTTAATTTTTAATGCAGGCCTTTTCCAAGTGCATCTTTGTGCAGTTGGTGACCAGCTGGGAAACAGTGTAAATTACTTAATACTACTGAAAATATATGTTTAAAATTGGGTTAAGCCACCCAGTAATCTCAGCAACTCAGGAGCCTGAAGCAGGAGGATCCAAGGTGGAGGCCAGCTTGCACAGTTTAGTGAGGCTGTAAGCAACTTAACAAGACCCTGTCTCAAAATAAAAAATAAGAGCTGGGGATGTAGCTCAGTGACAAAGTATCCCTGGGTTCAATCCCCAGTGCCAAGGGCTGGTGATATAGCTCAGTTGTAGAGTGCCTGCCTTGCATGCACAAGGCCCTGGGTTCAATCCCCAGCAGCCCACACAAAACAAACAATCCCCAATGCCAAAAAAATAAGCAAAATAAATAAAAATGGTTAAGAAGATAAATTTTATATTGCGTGTATTTTACCACAATTAAAAATAAAACAAAATTGCTCCTTTGAGCCAATGCCTTAGAAAACTTATGAGACATCAGCACTTTAACATGCATGATGATCAGTCTTTTGAAAAAAATTTTTCCTATACAAATCTAACCTAATATTTTCTGGCTTTCCATGAAATTTTATCTTGTTTTATTCTAGAAATTGTATTTTTTTGGCTTTAAGATATTTTCCTTTTATTGAAATATATCATGCCCATGGTATAAAATTTAAATAATACACAAAGGTATTACGCAGTGGGCCTTTTTCTCTGCATGCCCAAATGATGCACATCCCTCCTTCCACCCTAAAGCACCTGTTCACACTGTTCTGTGCATTCAAGAGCGCAATCATGTATATCACTCTGGCTTAACTGAAGATTGGTTTTGGGGGGTTTGGTTTGGTTTGGTTTTTCTGTATGTTGTTATGGTTATGACACAACAGTTTGGTTCTGTTTGAATTCTAGGACAGCTGTGGGAAGAGGCAGAGCTTGGCTTTATCTTGCTCTCATGCAAAAGAAACTGGCAGATTATCTGAAAGTACTTATAGACAATAAACATCTCTTAAGGTATTTCATCATCTATCTTTGCTTATCTTTTGCTTTGTAAATAATTAGAGCATAGTTCTGTAGGTCATTTTGAATTAAAATATGAGTATATAATGTTTTATTGAAATTATCATCTTAAATATTTCTTCTGTGGCATAGTTTTAAAATAGCAATGTTTCTCTTTTGAGCACTGATATCTGAAAGTCATTATGAGTGAATATTCACGTGAAAAATTTTGAATATAATTCTTTAAAAGTACCAATATCTAAGATTTGATAACTGACAAACTATTCCAGTTTCTATGAAATGGTATTTATTACATTGAATGATAACAAGAAAGAAATGAGTTTAAAACTAGATACAGTGGGCAATTTTTTTTTTTTTTTAGTTGTAGATAGATACAATATCTTTATTTTATTTACTTATTTTTTATGTGGTGCTGAGGAACAAACCCAGTGCCTTACACATGCGAGGCAAGCACTCTAACCCCAGCCCACAGTGGGCAATTTTAAAAGTATAAAATCCTGCTTTTTGTAACAGAACACATCTATATTACCTAGTTCAGGATTCCATATCCAGTTTATAAAATTTTATATCTTTTATCATTAGTAAAAACTTAATTTGCCTATCACTGAAATTTATAACTGGCTCATTTTTTATATTTGTATCTATGTAAGTAAGTAGTCATTATAAAAGGAATTTTCTCTAGACTACAAGAATTTACAACTCAGGAATCACTTTGGAGTTAATTCTTTTAGGGAGTGAGATTAAAGTATTTTTTACAGTGTGGTCTAAACCCCAAAATTTTCAGTGTTTTTAAGTCACAGCCTATTATTGAACATCTTTTTATGTGATAAATACTTATTTCAAATATTTCATATACATTGTACTCTGAATATAATTATACTGAGTAAATTGAGCTACAGATTTTGTTCTAATATGCTAATTCTTAAAGACATTAAGTTCTGAATGCACATATGTATATGTACACACACACACACACACACACACACAGAATTGCCTGGGTGCCAGTGGATTTGATAAATTAGTAAATCATTAGTGATAAGAATCAATAGCAAAGGGGATGGAGCCCCACTGTAAATGACTGAGATGACTAGGCGGTAAGGAAGTTTTTACAGCACAGATCGCTCAGTGGGACACAGGAAGAGGAAAGGGTTTTATTCTTGGATGTGGGGAGGCTATGGATTCCTATTTCCTGTTTATCAAGAGCATAAATGTAGAAGTAGTTCATATCATTGCAAATGGGGAACTAATGTAGAGTAGGAGAGGCAGAGTGATGCTCAGGAACGCAGTGTTCAAGAGATAATGAGAAGGACTGGGGTTCAAGATCTGAATGGAGGAATTAGCCTTAAACAGAAAGAGGGAAGAGCCCATCCTAAACCACAGGAAGAGGAAAGGATGGAGAATATATCAGTCAGCTTTCCATCACTATAACAAATACCTAAAATTGGGCACAATGGGGCACACCTGTAATCCCAGCAATTTATGAGCCTGAGGAAGGAGGATCACAAGTTCAGGGCCAGTCTCAGCATTTTTTTTTTAATATTTATTTTTTAGTTATAAGTGGACACAATATATTTATTTTATTTTTATATGGTGCTGAGGATCGAACCTAGGGCCTCACACATGCTAGGTGAGCGCTCTCTTTGAGCCACAACCCCAGCCCCAGTCTCAGCATTTTATCAAGACCCTCAGCAACTTAGCAAAACCCTGTCTTCAAAATAAAAATAATTTTTTTTTTTAAAAAAGGACTAAGGATGTAGCTTAGCAGTAAAGCACTTCTGAGTTCAATTCCCAATCAGAAGGGGGGAAAAAAAAAAACCCTGAGCGAATCATCTTAGAAGAAGTTAATTTTGGCTTATAATTTTTTAGAGGTTTCAACTCTAAAAAAAATCAGTTGACCCTGTTGCTTTGGGTCTCTGGCAAGGCAACAGGAACATGTTGCAGAATAAAAACCACTCACCTCCTGGACAGGAAACAAAAGAGAGAAGAAACCAAGATCCCAATTTTCCCTTCTCGGGCACATCTGTCATGACCTAAAGATCTCTCATTCAGCCCTACCTCTTAAAGGTTCCACCACCTCCCAATAGCATCAATCCTTTACCACACAGATCTTTAGGAGATACTTAATATCCAAATAGTAGCAGAGAAGGAATAGTAGTACTTGACATAGTGGAAATAAATTAAAAGAACTTGCCACCATGTAGCTACTGGCTCCTGGATGAGGTCAGTAGCTAGCCTATCCGCTAACAGTTGAAAAAGCAGAGCAGGTTGTGGTGAAGGAGTCTAAAAGTTATTTCTGAGCATCTCCTTTGTCATGTCAATTTCTTTTAGTGAGTTCTATGAACCTGAGGCATTGATGATGGAGGAAGAAGGGATGGTGATTGTTGGTCTGCTGGTGGGACTCAATGTTCTTGATGCCAATCTCTGCTTAAAAGGAGAAGACTTGGATTCTCAGGTAAAATGGGATTTTGGCTCTAGATGAATGAATTAGCCCTGGAATTTTACATGGAATCTGCAAACATGTACTGAATCTAAAACGGGACAGAGGTCAAAAGCCTTTTGGTGGAAAACTGAGCAAAGTGCTGTGCTGTGGCAGAGAGGAAAGTAGTGGGGAAAGCAACTCACAGAAGGTGATGGACAGAGGCACACCAGAAAGCCTAGTATGTTCTTCATACGGAATAGAGTTTGCTCAGTGAGGTAAAGGTTTTGGAAACTGGCAGGTTATTAGGCCATTAGTGTCACATTAAAGGGTTTAGTTCTTGCCCTTTAAACCTAGGAAAGTGCTGGAGGTTTTTAAGCACTGTACTAAAATGACCAGGCCTGGATTTGAGAAAGATTGATCTAGTAGCCATTCAGGCCATGCATGAGTTAGAAGTGGCCTAGAGTAGACATAGCAAAAACATTGAGAAGACTAATCCAAAAGTTCCAGAAGGTTGGATGAGAAATGGGAAAATAGAGTCAGGTTGATAAAATGGGACACAAATTAGAGTAAGCAGTAAAGTATAAGCCAGATGGAGTGGTATGTGCCTGTACTTTCAGCTGCTGGGGAGGCTTATGCAGGAAGATCACAAGTTCAAGGCCAGCCTCAGCAATTTTTCTTCTTTTTCCTGATTTTGGGGTTTTTTTTTTTTTTTAGAACTTTATAGTTACTTTACTTTATAGTAGTTGGCTTCATCCCAGCAAACATTATGTGCATGGAAATCTATTTTAGTTCATGATTCCCTACCTTTTCCCTCCATTCTTCCTCCCCTCTCCCATCAGCCTCAGCAATTTAGCAGTATCTTCAGCAACTTAGTAAGACCCTGTCTTAAAACAAAATATTTAAAAAGGGCTAGAGATGGGGACTGGGGTTGTGGCTCAGTGGTAGAGCACTTGCCTTGCACATGTGAGGCACTGAGTTTGATTCTCAGCACCACATAAAAATAAATAAACAAAATAAAGATATTTTAAAAGGAGCTGGGGGGCTAGAGATGTAGCATTGTGATTACGTACCCTTGGGTTCAATCCCCAGTACCACGGGAAAAAAAAAACTAAACTAAAGCTTCCCAAATCCCTCTATGTCCACATCAACTTTTGTTGATGTCAGTGTATGCATGGTACTGGGGATCAAACTCAGGGCCTCACATTTTTTTATAACATCTCCCTGCCCATACACACAACTTTTTTTTTTTTTTTCCTTATTGGTTCTGGGGATCGAACCCTGGGCCTGCTCATGTGAGGCATGCACTTTACCAACTGAGCTATATCCCCAGCCCTACATACCTTTTTTTGAAAAATACTTTTTATTGTTTTTACTGTTGAAGTTTTTTCAGTAATAGAAGTATTTTTTTAACATTTATTTTTTAGTTGTAGGTGGACACAATACCTTTATTTTATTTTTATGTGGTGCTAAGGATCGAAACCAGTGCCTCACGCATGCGAGGAGAGCACTCTTTCCTCTGAGCCATAACCCCAGCCCCTAGAAGTATTTTTAAAATGAAACTAAACCACGCATAATGTCATTACTCCAAGGTATATATCTGGTACATGAATAAAAGTGAATACATGAAAAAAATATCCTAAGCACAACATTTTGGTGGTTTTTTGATTTTTTTTTTTTTAATTTTTTTTAGTTGTAGATGGACACAATACCTGTTTTTTTATTTTTTTATTTTTATATAGTGCCAGGGATTGAACCCAGTACCTCACACATGCTAGGCAAGCACTCTACCACTGAGCCACAACCCCAGCACCTATTTTGTTTATTTGTGTGTAGCACCGGGATTAAATCCAGTGCCTCATGCATGCTCTGTAAGTCTCTATCACTAAGCCACAACCCCAGCACTTGGTGTTTTTTTGTTGTTGTTTTTGTTTTTGTTTTTAAATATTTATTTTTTAGGTGTAGATGGACACAACACAATGCCTTTATTTTTTATGTGGTGCTGAGGATCAAACCTAGGTCCCGCCCGTGCTAGGCAAGCGCTCTTCTGCTGAGCCACAATCCCAGCCCACTTGGTGTTTTTTTAATTTGACAATATACATTCCATACCACACTCAATGACAGTAGAGATGTAAAACATTTTAAGGTGGTTGCATGATATTCCATTTTTTAAACATACCATAATTCGTACCATAATTTCACCAATATCTTACTAATTTAGATCATTTCCATGTTATAGCAACAATATTATAAATGTCCTAATATTTCTTTGTACTCTTGTTCATTTACTTAGTTAGGATAAATTTTGGAGTTGTTTTGTTACAGTATCTACTATATTCCACATACTGTAAAATTGACCTCCAGGACCTATCCTCTGGCCTTATATAAGAGAACCCTCTTTCTCTTGCTAACACTGCACATGTTCTCAGTCCTTTTCAGATAGACAGTACATCTCATCTCAAATCTGTATTTTTAAGAAGGAAAGAAGTATCAAGTTTTATTTGAACTGTTATGACTACCTATTCATGTCCTTTGCCCAATTTTCTGTTTTCCATTTTTTGTTGTTTCATATCTTTTTTAATAGGGTTAGGACATTGACCCTTTTTTGAAATTTTTGTTTTTAATTAATTGGGGTTTTTTGTTTGTTTCTCAAAGCTGTTTGCCATATAGAAAGTTGTCATTGTTGTTGTTGTTGTTGTTGTTATTGTTTGTAGTACTGGGAATTGAACCACTGAGCTACATTCTCAGCCCTTTTTTGTGTTTGTGTTTTGATTGTTTGTGTGGTTATGTTACCCAGGATGGCCTGGAACTTGTAATCCTCCTACCTTAGCCTCCTAGGTTGCTAGGACTACAAAGGTGCATCACTCTGCCCAGCTGGAAATCATGTCATTCAGATCTTTTTTTTTTTTTTTTTTTTTTAGTTGTAGATGGACACAATATCTTTATTTTATTTATTTTTATATGGTTCTGAGGATCAAATCCAGGGCCTCACACGTGCTAGGTGAGCAATCTACCGCTGAGCCACAACCCCAGCCCTCATTCAGATCTTTTAGACTAGAGTTGTATGACAACTTTCTGTTGCAGCTTTTTAAAATCTCATTGTCCTCATCTATAATACTGTGCACTTGTTAAATATTGATCACACTTGGTACAGATTGAACTTTGAGAATAGGGCTTTGTTTTCTAATCCATTAATTTCTATTTTTACTATTAATTAGTTCTTTCTCATTCTATCATTGTATTTTCCAGCTGATTTATATATGTTTTTATGATTTCATTTTTTATTACAAAAGAAATCCATGCTTGCTGAAAAAAACTTGGGCAGTATATAAGAATATAGAGTAAAAAGTGAAGTTTGAATCCCCTTCTCTTCCCTCTCAGTCCTCTCTTCTCCACAAGTTGTGGTAAAGATTTGGGGAGAAATCTTTTACAGCCTTTTCTCTTTATTTATGTATCCAAAGGTTTTGTTTTAAATTAAATCTTCTAGTGTTATTGTGTAAGAAATCAACAGACATGAAAACTATCACAGTTACTGTATCTCTCACAGTTAGGGGTTGAATGGGGTCAGGTAGGTGGTTCTTGTTCAAGAGCACATGTGGTACAGTCAGATGGTAGCTGGGGCCAGAATTACCTGGGGCTTGCTCTCTGCTGTGTCTGTCCTCTAACTGAGCAAACTGAAAAGAGCTGGGGATGGAACAGCAAGGGCTTCTTAGGCATTGCTATCTGTGTGTAGTCTTTCCAGGTGGTATCGAGCCTTTTCACTTTTTACATGAAAGCTCAGAATTTCAGTGGCATATATTCTAAGAGAAATAGACAGATAGAAACTGTATTGTCTATTTTAACTGAGCTAAAGGAGTCATACAGCATCATTTCTACTGCATTTTATCAAGACGGGCACTAAGAGCCGGGTGCAGTAGCTCACACTTAGAATCCCAGCAGCTCTGGAGGCTGAGGCACTAAGCAACTCGCAAGATCCTGTCTCTAAATAAAATATTAAAAGGGCTGGGTATGTGAAGTACCCCTGGTTTCAGTCCCCAGTACCAAAAAAAAAAAAAAAAATATATTGGCACTAAAGGCATGTAGGTTTAAGGGATGAAGGTAGAAAAGGTATAGTTGTGTCTTAAATCCATCATACAACTTTGGTTTTAATATAGTGGGGTTACTATTCTGGGGTTAATGATATACATATTATTATTTGGCTTAAAATTGTATCTTGGGACTTTTCCAAATTATCATACATTGATCCACTGATTTTTTGTGATATGGTATAACATGGTTGAATTAAGTGTTTCCTCATAGGTGGAGATTTCAGTTGTACCGAATTTTCCTGTAATTTAAATAGGAATGGCTTCACTTATAAGTGCTTTATTTCTTAACAGAAATATCAAAAGCCTTTGATGTTTAGATGTTTAAGGGGTCTTAGTCTTCTCTAACTCCGAGCACTGGCAGAGAATTTTCCCTGAAATACAGACTAGATAGATCATTTCACCAAAATTTGGGTAAAGAAGGACTCAGAAAGGCTGGGGTTGTAGCTCAGTGGTAGAGTACTTGCCTAGCAAGTGTGAGGCTCTGGATTCAATACTTTGCACCACATAAAAAGTAAATTAATAAAGGGCTGGGGTTGTGGCTCAAGTGGTAGAGCGCTCGCCTGGCATGTGTGAGGCTCTGGGTTCGATCCTTAACACCACATAAAAATGGAACAGAGATATTGTATCCACCTAAAACTAAAAAATAAATATTTTTTAAAAGAAATTAATAAAATAAAGGTATTGTGTACATCTACAACTGAAAATGTTAAAAAAAAAAAAAGGACTCAGAAGTGTCAGTTAAAATATCTACTTCTGTCTAGATAGCATTTTCTTTCTCTTTTATAATTACTTTATACCCAAAGAACTTTGTTAAACTTTTTTGGTACTGGGACGCTTAACCACTGAGCCACATCCCCAGCCCTTTTTTAGATTTTATTAAGAAACAGGGTCTCACTGAATTGCTTAGGGCCTCAATAAGTTGCTGCAGCTGGCTTTGAACTCAAGATCTTCCTGCCTGAGCCTCCCGGACTGCTGGGATTACAGGCATGCACCACTATGCCTGGCAGAACTTTGTTAATCTTGATAGATAATGTGATTCTTTAGATATCTAGCTGTGGTGGAATTGAATATCCTGAATTCCAAGAATTATAAGGCTTTATTGAAAATGAGAAATGTTATCATTTATTTAAACTTGTGCATTTTATTTAAATCAGGTTGGAGTGATTGATTTTTCCCTCTACCTTAAGGATGTGCAGGATCTTGATGGTGGCAAAGAGTAAGTACTACATAGTATACTATTTTCTTCATAATTTTAATGAAATTTTGGCAGTAGTAGAATACTACTCTTTTGTTTTCTTTTGGTACAGGGTTTGAATCCAGGGGTGCTTAACCACTGAGCAATATCCCCAGCCCTTTTTATTTTTTATTTTGAGATAGTGTCTTGCTAAGTTGCTTGGGGCCTCACTGTTGCTGAGACTGGCCTTGAACATGAAATCATTTTGCCTCAGCATCCCAAGTCTCTTGGATTACAGGCATGTGCCACCATGCCCAGCCAGAGAACTCTACTCTTGTTTTTGCTTTGAGATTTAGGGAGTTTTTGGTTATTGGTTTTTTTGTTTTGTTTTGTTTTGTGCGGGGGGGTGGGCGTTGCAGTGGCACATGCCTATAATCCCAGTGACTCAGGAGACTGAGGCAGGAGAATCACAGTTCAGGGATGACAACTTAGCAAGACCCTGTCTCAAAATAAAAACATAAGGGGCTGGGGTTGTGGCTCAGTGGTAGAGCACTCGTCTAGCACATGTGAGGCACTGAGTTCGATCCCCAACACCACATAAAAATAAATAAATAAAATAAAAGTATTGTGTCCATGTACAACTAAAACATTTTTTAAAAATAAAATAAATAAAAAATAAGACGGGCTGAGAGTCTAACTCAGTGGTAAACTGTTCCTGGGTTTAATCCCCAGTTCCACCAAGAAAAAATTAGATTTTAGTTTTTGTTTAGTTTCATTAATAACAGATAATATGTTTTCATTTTCACTAAGGAATTAAGCTCTACAGAAGAACAGAGCATGCTTGTGGATTTTCTCCATTTTTACTGCCCCTTTTGCCAAAGACCTGGCCAGTCTGCAGAAGAGGGAGGACATCTTCTGGGTACCTTCTCTAAGGGCACTTGTTCCCCACGCCCCAGATGCTATGTCCCTGGCTAGTGTTGCTCTCTATTTACTCAAGGGCCATGCAGACATTACTCAGCTCTGACTATTGGTTTGCGAAGACATTTGCATTTCTACAAGATGATCAGAAGGTTGGAGGACAGTTACAAACTATTAACCACCAATAAATTTTTTTCCCCTTTGTATGCTTTCTTTATAAGGCATGAAAGAATTACCGATGTCCTTGATCAAAAAAATTATGTGGAAGAACTTAACCGGCACCTGAGGTAGGACTCGCTCCTTTATTCCAGTGGTATTCAATATCTTGTCACTGTTTCTTGGGACTTTTTGAGTTTCTACATGTTTATACTGATTTTTTTTTCCAAACCATGAAAAGGGGTTATAATCATTCATAAAGTGTTCATGTGTACAGACTAGAGTAAAAGGATTTCTTCTTGATAAACAACTTTTGGGGAATATTTGGTTCTTTGTTTTGTGCAGTTATACAGTATGGACAGGTAAACACATTAAACCTTAAATTTTCAGTGTTCACCTATAGCCATGTGGTTGGCAGGCCCTGCCATAGCAAGCCCTGTTACTCATGGGAATCAGCACATAGCCTCCTCCATTCCCCACCCCCAGTGTATTGGACTAGAAGAAGGTTGAAAACCACTGGGCTAGACTTTCAAGATCAATGTGATCACAATCTCAAGAAAATTTCTTGATTTTTTAAAAAATTTTAGCTGAAAGGCTACTGATGTGTTCCAAGAAATACTAGGCCTTAGATATACAATTGGGAGAGGTTCAATGTCAGGGGACACTTGGCCTAAAGTCTTTGGAAGACATATTGTTCTCTCTCTGAACCCCCTTCTAGAAAGTACATTGCATATTAACAGTACTTCCCAGGGGCAGGCCCCCTGACCCCAAACCAATGGAACAGACAAAGAAGTTGGCACGTTCCTCCAAAAGTGCTTCAAGAAACACTGCCTGGAGGCACCCCTTAACTGTTGGCTGGTTTTTGAGAGATCCTTGGTTGATTCCTAATTTGAGAGTTTTTATAAGAGATAGATGTTGAATTTCATCAAATGTGTTTTAGCATCCATTAAGGCAATCATGGTTTATATCCCTTGATCTGTTGATGTTATATATTTTATTACTGGATATCGTCATACTGAACCATTCCTGTATCACATGTAATACTTTTACTGTTCTTTTAACCTGCAATCTGACTTAATTGTTCCTCAGTTTTCTATCTCTGGCATGGCCTCGTGGTTATACAGCTTCACAAAATGAATTAATAAATTTTGCCTTACTTCTGCGCCTGGGATCAATTTCTTAGTCATTTGCCCAAAGCTTATATTTGGTACTGGCTTACCAGCTTTGTTCATCTCGGTTTTTTCTCTTACGGACATTCTTTTTATGGTATTTTCTCCTTGTTGCTATTTTCTGTTACAGTTGGTATAGAATTGGAAATTGAATACTCTTTTAAGACTTTTCCTGAGCCGCTAGAATTGCAGGTGTGTGCCACCATGCCCAGCTCTAAATTACAGGCTCTTGAGCAAGATTCCCTGGGTTCAGATGTCTGCAGCTCTTCATAGATATATGAATTTTAAAAGAATTAGAGAGCTGGGGTTGTGGCTCAGTGGTAGAGCGCTTGCCTGGCATGTATGAGGCACTGGGTTCAATCCTCTGCACCACATAAAAATAAAGGCATTGTGTCCATATGTAACTAAAAAAAAAAAATTAATTGGAAAAAGAAGAAAAAATTAAAAATAAATTAACTGAATTAAGTTAAATTTAAAAAACAAAAAAAGGGGCTCGAGTTGTAGCTCAGTGGTAGAGTGTGCTTAATGTGCCCTAAGCTAAAGGTTCAATCCTCAGTACCAAAAAAAAGGAAGAAGAGCTGGAGATTACAAGCTGGGCTGTAATCCCAGCAGCTCAGGAGATTGAGGCAGGAGAATTTCATGTTCAAAGCCAGCCTCAGCAACTTAACAAGGCCCTAAGCAATTCAGTGAGACTCCATCTCTAAATAAAAATACAAAAAATGGCTGGGGATGCAGCTTAGTGGTTAAGCACCCCTGGGTTCAATCCCCAGTACCAAAAAAGGGGGGGGGGGAATATGAACTCCAGTGAGTTCTTTAATGTAAAGTTATAATTTATTTACATGTATACTAGACTAACAGTAGAATCTACCTCACCAAATTGGTGGGGGAGAGGTGTCATTGAGTTGATGCATATAAAGTAATTAGAACAGATAGGGCCTGGCACATAGTCCAAAAAATAAGTTACTGCTATTATTGTGGGGATTATCATTATTGTTTATCAAGTCCATTGTTTTTCTATTTGATGACTCATTATATTAGCTTTTTACATATTTTTTTAATATAAAAGCACATACTATGTAATATTTCAAAAATGGAAGTGCCAGGTACAGTGGTGCACTCCTAAAATCCCAGCAACTTGGAAGGCTGAGAGAGGAGGATTGTAAATTCAAGTCTAGTCTTGGCAACTGAGCAAGACCCTCAGCGACTTGGCAAGACTCTTTCTCAAAATAAAACGGGCTGGGTATGTAGCTCAGTGCCAAAGTGCCCTGGGTTCAATCCCTGGTCAAGAAAAAAAGGGGGCAAGTAGCCAGGTACAGTGGCAGCTGTTTATTATCCTAGCTACTCAGGAGGCCAAGGCAGGAAGATCATAACTATGAGGCTAGCCTCCTGGCAACTTAGGAAGACCCTGTCTCAAAAATAAATAAATAAGTAAGGGCTGGAGATGTAGCTCAGCGGTAGAGAACTTGCCTGGCATGTAAGAGGCCCTGGGTTCAACCACCAGTACTGCAAAAAAAAAAGCAGGATGGGGGTTTAAGGGAAAGGGAGTGGGGATTTGGCTCAACAGTAGAACACTTGCGTAGCATGTGCAAAGCCCTGGGTTTGATCCCCAGACTGCAAAAAAAAAAAATAGGGTGGGTAGGAAAGAATATTAAAAAAAAAAAAAATTTAAAAATCACTTGATCTTCCTGCACCAAAGTACCAATACTTTGTTACTATTACCTTAGCTATGTGAATGCGGACACATTTTGGTTCCATCATCTATTGTATTGGAATAAAAATATTTTCAGCTAACTAAAAAGGGAATAAATCACATATTTTAGGGGTGAAACTTATTGGAAAGTATTTTTAAATTTTTTTAAATAAAAACAATATTTTTATTATTCTCATCTCCTCTGAGTTAGAGTCCTTTTGCGTTTTCATTTCATCCAGGAAATCTAAGAATTTCTCTTCTCATCATTTACAATTTGGGTAAACAGAGAGTTCACACTTAGGAGCTGGGGTTATAGCTCAACAGTAGAGCACTTGCCTCACACTTGTGAGGTACTGGGTTTGATCCTCAGCACCACATAAAAAAAAATAAATAAATAAAGATATTGTCCTTCTTTAAAAAAGCTTTAAAGAAAAAAGAGTTCACACTTACCTAATATTTTTATTTTTCTACAGCTGCACAGTTGGAGATCTTCAGACCAAGATAGATGGTTTGGAAAAGACTAATGCAAAGCTTCAGGAAGAGGTTTGTAACTTATTGAAACCCTTGAACAAACAGAATGACCCAAAGTTAAGAAAAATGGTACAGTTGGTATATCTGACCAGAGTTTCTCACTGTTAGGAAGGGGGATTATTAACCTTGGGTTGAGCTGCACATGGGACAAGAGAATATCTGTGTTCTGCCCTATTCAAGACTCCCAGTGAGACACCTCAGCTGATCATGAGCCAGTTCTTAGTGTCTTAGGTTTTATCATCCCAAAGTAACAGTACTTTGCAACAGTCCAGCTTCTGCCTGTCAAAGTGCAGTTTCTTCCTCTTTTCCACCTTTCCTGTGATGTCACATGCCTCCCTGCTGCCCTAGAAGGCACAAACTCCATTATGAGAGGCACCGTAGCCCACCCCTTCTGTTTTGGCCTCTCAGGAGCATGGAAACGGTCTCCCCACAGCATGGTCTTTCTCTGCTTTCTCACTAGGAAGAGAGAATGAAAGGACAGGAAGAAGGAGGGCTGAGGCCGAGGAAGACAGCTTGCTGCCAGCTGCCCAGCAGGCTCTTTGGTGGACACATCTTGTCTCCTGTTAGCAGGAGGGGGGTTGCTCAGCCTTTCTGAGGCTTTCCACAGGTAGCGGTCCCTGCTGCTCAGGCCTCCCCACTAGTCTCATTGGGAAGGAAGAGGACTTTGAGATGGAAAAGAAACACCTCCAAGACATGGAGACAGGGGACAGTGAAAGGAGACTCAGTGAGCACACCTTTGTAACAAGGACCCTGGTTTAAGGCACACTTTAATTGACTGCTTTCTCCTGAGGGGCCAGTCCTGAAGGCTTTCAGAGGAAGAGCTCAGATTTATAAGAGAGGAAGGAAATTCAAAGACAGTGTTCATTGGTAGGGGCATCATGGGAGAAACTTCACTGAACTTAGCATAGGAAGACACGGTCACCTTGGTAGGTCTTTGAGCCTCACTTTTGTCTTAAAGTTGGGTGATGATACATACTTTACAGTATTGTCATAAAGATTGCCAACTGAATATCATGACTATGCCTGATAGAACAGTTGTGAGGGTTGGGGAGTACTTGAATGTGAATTGATTTTAGAATGAGCAGATCACTTTATGTTCTCTCAGACCAGGTAGCATGCTTTGACTGAAGGTCTGATTTCACTATCAAAACTGAACAGCTGGGTTATTTTTGTTAAAAGCAAATTATTGTAAGAGAAGATTTTAGAGAAAAGTATTCCTCCATCAAGGTATGCTCTCTGTATCTTCAGAGAGTAGAGAAAAGTAGCTTTTACCACCTTGATCTGCTTCTTCCCTTTTGAGAGTAGTACCCCTTTTAAAACCTTAAGGTGTCTCACTTGGGCACAGCAATGGCTTAGAAACCCAACTGGCTTCCAAGCCTGAATGGAAAGTAATTCTGAGGAGTTTTACTGCTTTTGACAAAAGAAAAAGAGAGGCATTCAATGGCTCTAGGTCCTTTCACTGGGAAATGATGCTGAGGACAGAGCCAGGTACCAGAGACAGATATCAAGCTTCTTGCTCCTTCTCCAGCCTCCCCATCTCTCTGCAAGCTGTGTTCTGAGTCTAGAATAAGGAGGGACCTAGCTGCTGTATTTTGTCATCTCCCTTACTTGTAATATCCTCTCCTCAGGCAGATCCATCCAACTTCTATATACTTTTCCCTAAACTTTTCCCTAAACATATTCGAGGAAAGGAAGGATTTCTCTAGGGCATGGCTTTGAACTCACGATCCTCCTGCCTCAGCCTCCCGAGTCACTGGGATTACAGGCGTGTGTCAGTGCACCTGCCTTACTTCCACTATAATTTATGTAACCATTTCTCTAATAGTAGAATTCAGGCTGTTGCTGATTTTTTTGGTCAATAAATCATTGCCCACATGAAGTAGTAGTATATTACCATTTTTGCAAAGGGAGAAAATCTGGGGAGAGCTGAGATCACTAAGGGCACAGGTAGATAGATGGGAGAGGGAGTTTTACTATATACATTTTTGTGTCTTTGGGATTTTGAACCATATATTCCCTATTCAGTATAAGGCATCTGAAAATAAGTTGTTAATTGTGAAGATGCCGAGTAGATATTTTAATTTTAACAGTAAGATTAACTTTGATGTTAAGAAATGTAAAAATCTCTCTTAATCAGCTGTCAGCTGCAACAGATCGGATTTGTTCACTTCAAGAAGAACAGCAGCAATTAAGAGAACAAAATGAATTAATTCGTGAAAGAAGTGAAAAGAGCGTAGAGGTAAGAAATTGACCTTATAGTTATGTGTCATGTTACTCACTCAGATGTACCTATTGTCAGTCTCAAACTCATATAGTCTTTTCTTGGTGTTTGTGGGAGATTGGTTCTAGGATCATCTCCCTAGGATATCAAAATCCAAGTTCCATTATATAAAACAATGTAGTATTGGCATATAGCCTATGCATATTCTCCCAGATACTATAACTCAATCTCTAGATTACTCATAATACCTCATGTAGTATAAACGCTATGTAAATAGTTTTTATCCTGTATAATTTAGGGAATAATGACAAGGAATAAGAGTCTGTACATATTTAATACAGAATAATTTTTTTTTCAAATATTTCCAATTTGTGATTGGTTGAATCTACTGATGCAGAGACTGCAGGTATGAGAGCTGACTTTAGTTTTTTGTTTTTGATACCAGGAATTGAACTCGGGGGCACTCCACCACTGAGCCATTTCCCCAGCCCTATTTTGTATTTTATTTAGAGACAGGGTCTTACTGAGGTGCTTAGCACCTCGCTTTTACTGAGGCTGCCTTTGAACTCGTGATCCTCCTGTCTCAATCTCCCGAGCCTCCAGGATTACAGATGTGCATCACACACCCAACTTGACTATAGTTTAATAATGATCCAGTTCTCAGAATGTGTCTTTGATGTCAGAAAGTACTTCCTATTTCTGTTTCTATCCCTGCCAATGTCACTCTCAGGCCCCATGGACCACTTGGACTTCCTAGCCTTATGGGCCTTTATGCCAAGATTTCTTTTCATTCTTCAACTTCTGCTCATATGCTGAGTCTTCTGTAATGCCATCCATGATACCCACAGATGGGCTTATACCCTTCTCCCGTATTCCCATAGTTCTTCATACATCCTCCATCATAGAATCCACGTATTATTTTGTAAAATTGCCAGCTTGCAGCTGTCTCACCTGACAATTTTAAGGGTAGAAACCCTATCAGATTCACCACTAAATCCACCCAGTGCAAAAAAAAAAAAAAAGTCAATAAATACTGAATGATAGATTGGATAAAAGTCTTTCCTGCTAGGGTCTCTTGTACTGTTTTAAAGAAAATTAAATATAAATTTGCTATTTGAGCCCAACTTTTTAAAAAATTTATTGGCTACTCTCATTCTTTATCTTCAAATTCTAATACCTTTATAGATTTCACCTTTATCATGCAAAGAAAGCAGAAATTGTCCTACATATTTTCAAAGTTTAAATACTTTGTAGCTACTTTGTTTACCATAAGCAAACCATTCCTCTTGGTGTTCTTGATTGCTATAGATAACAAAACAGGACACCAAAGTTGAGCTGGAGACTTACAAGCAGACCCGGCAAGGACTGGATGAAATGTACAGTGATGTATGGAAGCAGCTAAAGGAGGAGAAGAAAGTTCGACTGGTAAGTATGCAAGACTGGGCATCCTTAGGAAGAATTTCTCTGTAGCTCTCCAAGTTAAATCCCTCTATTCCTTTTTTTTTTTTTTTTTTTTTTTTTTTTAAGTTATAGATGGACATAATACCTTCATTTTATTTATTTATATGTGGTGCTGAGAATTGAACCCAGTGCTTCACACATGCTAGGCAAGCTGAGCCATGACTCCAACCCTTCTGTCTACACGCTTTTTTTTTTTTTTTTTTTTGCCAGGACGGGTACCAGGGATTGAACTCAAGGGCACCTGATCTCTGAGCCACATCCCCACCCCTATTTTGTATTTTATTTAGAGACAGGGTTTCACGAGCTTTTGCTCGTGATCCTCCTGCCTCAGCCTCCCGAACCGCTGGAATTACAGGCTTGCACCAACACAACCAGCCCTTTTCACGTGTGTGCTAAAACCTGATGCCACTCATAGGAAGTTGTTAGTTTGAGAGTTGGGGATGTGGCTCAGTGATCAGATGTCCCTGAGTTCAATCCCTGGTACAAAAAAAAAAAAAAATAAGTTGTTAGTTTTTTAAAAAATCCTAATGAAATTCTGCATTGTCATTTATATTTTGTTCCCATTTTATAAACATTTTTTAGAGGTTGCTAGGAGACTAGACTCACGATTTCTTTGACAATACCATTCTCTTATGCCATGACCAGTGCAGCCAGTCTGGCAGGTTCCAGTGAGGGGCAAAGGGGGATAAGAAAAATAAAGACTCACAGACTCAGATTTTGAAGATAACAGCTGGGGTCATGTGGAGCGCTGCTCTCTAATGGAGAAGCAAGTCTAAAGAATTACACCAGCAATCTTTATTTATATATGTCTCATTATCAGATGAAGACTATTCAAGCATTATTCTTTGTATTCATGAAAGTTACAGAGTTGGCAACATTATACAACTAATTGCGCAGTTACATTCTACAGTTGCAATGTGCAATATGCAGCTTTGTGTAGCTCTCAAGAAAGTCCATTGTTTAAGTTACTATTATGAGGGTAGGTTCAGGAGCAGGGGAGCTTGGTGAAACATTGTGGTTGTCTAGCAAGAGAGTTCCTCTATTCCAGGAATTGTGTGCCTGACATCAAGGTTAATGCTGATAAGACTCTAGTACAGAGCCTCCTCATGGAGGGCATTACCACAACAGGTAGGCATCCTGCACCTTTGCACAGAAACTTTACCAGGCACCAAGCATCAAGCAACCCCAGTCTCAGACCTGGCACTTCCATTCTCAGTCCGTGCTCTCCACACTCTTAGGCTATTATTTCCATTTATCTGTCTGTCAGTGGCGCAAGTTCTTTATTAAACACATTTTTCTTCTTCTTTTTGGTACTGGGAATCAAACCCAGCAGCACTTCACCAATGATCTACATTCCTGACTCCCCCCCCCCCCACCCCTTTTCTTTTTTGGAGATAGGATCTTGCTAAGTTGCAGGGGCTGGCCTTAAACTTGAGATCCTCCTACTTCAGCCTCCCAGAGTTGCTGGGATTTTTGCCACTACATTCCCTATCAAGCCCAGTTTTTCCCTCCTTCCTCATTTAGCTTTATTGGAATAGTTTAAAATTACATTTTCTATTTTTTAGGACTTCAGTTGCTTTTTTAAACCCAATTTGTAGCTAGCTTTACTTATTTGCTTCCTTGAATGAATGTGGGGCAAAGTAGCCTAAGTTATTCAGGATGAAAAGAACCATTTCAAAATCGTTAGCATACAATAGGTTCAATCCCAGCCCCAGCAAAAAAAAAAAAAAAAAGAAGAAAGAAATTTTTTAAATGGTTGTATATTTTTTGCCATAAAGTAGCAAATCATTCCAGAGATTGTAACATTGCAACATCAGATCCCTTCTAGCATGCAAGCACAAGACACATTTTAGATTATGGATTCTAATTCTCTGGGTTAGGAGAACTTGGTTGCTAGAACCGTAGGCTCTTATTGCCAAGTCAGCTTTCTATTGATTTAATGTAAAGCCAAATTTAATTATATGATGAGGAAAAGGGGAGAAACTTAACCTCCAGACAGACTTTTCTCAAACCTGTTCTGATTTGTAATTTGTCTTTTAGTCATTGCCCAAGATACTACCCCAGTTAAATATATTTTTGTTATCTACTTTAATTGCATTTTTCTTGTAAATATCCTTTAAAGGAACTAGAAAAAGAGCTGGAGTTACAAATTGGAATGAAAATGGAAATGGAAATCGCCATGAAGCTACTGGAAAAGGATACCCACGAGAAGCAGGACACACTTGTTGCCCTACGCCAACAGCTGGAAGAAGTCAAAGCAATTAACTTACAGATGTTTCACAAAGTTCAGGTGGGAATTGGCTTTGGGTCTATATCATAATCTGGTTTCCTGCTGCTTTCCATGTGCTCCCTTTCAGTCTTACATCACTCTTCCTGCAGAATGGGCATATACATATCTGTGAGTGCTCAGTATGTTTCGGACCTGGTCCTTGGCCCTTTTGTGGTACTACATTTATTTTATTTGAGTCTGACAGCAGTCCTTGTGAAATGAGGAGAATGGAAATGACAGGGCAGAACTAAGCGGCTAAATCACATAACCCTGCTGACACAACTAAAGCATGATATATTTTTAATGCAAGCCAAACTTTATCAGTGTCTCCTAGCTGTTTACTTCTATTTCAGTGATTCATTGTATGCACTAAGAGATGGAGAAAGGAATTAAGGATAGCATTTAGTATTATCTTCTCCAAACTTTGCCATGAGGTTATTGTTGCTGAGCCTGTGGGTCACACAGCTAGTTGCTTACTTCTCTTATGTCACTTCAGAGTGATCAAAGGGAACTATGCCAGAAAGAATCAATCAGAGTTTAAAAAATAGCATCTAAAAATTATATAGGTTTTTCCCAGAAGCCATCCACAAGGGTACCATTCTGTGTCCTAAAACTTTTTTTTAAAAGTTCTGGTTCCTATTTTATTGCCAAAATAGACATACTTCATTTTCCATGGACATAGTTTGACCCTCACTTACAGTAATATCTATGTCACAGATAATGTGAGAGCAGACAGTACTAAAAAACTAATTTCTTCTGCCTTTGCGGGGGTGGGGGGGGACTGTTAAGGGCTGGGGATAGCTCAGTTGGTAGAGTGCTTGCCTCGCATGCACAAGGCCCTAGGTTCAATCCCCAGCACCACGATAAATAAATAAAAACTGTTATGTAAGATGAAATAATAAAGGAGAAAAATAATTTTATCCTTTTTACAAATGATCTATTTTAATTTTTTTTCATGTTTTCTTCTGTTTTGAGACCATAGAGAAACAAATTTAGTTAGTGTTGTGTGTTAGGGGAAAACCACTATAATAATTTAGTAAACTCTAAAATAGAATAGCTTATAAATATGGAAGTATGTATTTATGTGACAGAAGAGTTCCAAGTGACCATTTTAGACTAGCATATATACTCTCCACAGTCATTTAGGGGCCTAGGCTAATGCACTTTAAGCTTTCCAGGCTACTCTAGTTGTTACCGTTCCTGCAATAAGAAGGGTGGAGAAGAACAAAGTCCAGGGCCAAGGATTTCCTGTCTAGCAGTGAGATACAGGTTGCACACATCACTTCCAGTCAGTTCTATGGGAAAGAGTTAGTCACCAAGGCCACACTTGGCTTCAAGGGGATTCTGAGAGAGTCATCTTTCCTGGGCCACAGGCCTGATAAAGGGGAGAATATTTGTGGGTAGACACAATTGTCTGTATGATAGCCATCCCTATAGGAACTGCTATTGAAGTCCCATCTGGTTCCTCCTCCAAAACTGTAGGCCCTGGCTAATGGTTAGCACTTTCCAACAGCCCATGTACCCTGGAGCTGAAAGACAGTTGTTTCTCACAATAGCCCATCATATTAGTACAGGATGGTACAAAGATGCACCCAACAGAAGCACCCATTTGGAAAAGGGAAACATGGTAGGCAGTTGCTGGCCCATAAGTAGTTGCTTATGCCCTCTGGGCAGGAACTGTAAAGGCTGTGGCACCTAATGGTAGGCTATTTCTTAGCACTTCTTGCTTCTATGGTACTGCCTTCTGAAAGAGCTTCTATATTACCTAAAGTCCACCATCTTCCTCAGTAATATTCAAGGGGGAGTCAAGAGACCATGTCCACAGACAAAAAGCAGGTTTGATGGCCAGCTTTTTGCTGGTGTCACTTTGCCAGCATGGCAATTGTAATAGGAACCAAACAGCCACAAGAAATTTTCAGACCAGACTCATGGCTCCTTTGACAGTACAGTGGCCTCATTCATCACTTCTGGTCTGTCAGTGAGCAGAGTTCATTGAATACAGTTCTCATACCTATGTCATTGCTCTATGAATGTCTGTTTTGTGTGTGTGTCTCTCTCTCTCCGTCCTATTAACAGCAGATAATCCAAAACAATAGTTTTAGGTGTGAGAAAACGAAATTTGATCTGAGTTTTGCTGCTTGAGAATTTTGTTTTAGTGCCGGGAATTAAAACCAGGGCCTAATGCATACTAGGCAAGTAATTTGCCACTGAACTGTATCCCTGTACCGTGTGGGAAGTTTTTTAGGGGGTCGATGGAGGTGGATACTGGGGATTGAACTCAGGGGCACTCCACCACTGAGCCACATCCCCAGCCTTATTTTATATTTTATTTAGAGACAGGGTCTCACTGATTTGCTTAGCACCTCGCTTTTGCTGAGGTTAGCTTTGAACTCGGGATCCTACTGCCTCAGCCTCCCGAGTGGCTGGGATTACAGGCATGTGCCTGGCTCCATGTGAGAAGTTTTATAGAGCCTTTATTACTCAGTTTTTAGTCTTATCTCATATATTGTAAGGTCCAGAACAGCTGGCTTTACAAACCTCAACTCTTTGGGCTCTTCCCTATTCCCAGCACCTTGCCCAGATAGCAAGGATAGCCAACACGTATTAACATTCTGGCTCTTCTCAGCCACTTCTCCTGGAGCACCAGCATAGTTGACAAGTGCTTTGTTTTCCAAGTTTAGGTGAGTGATAGTTTTACTAACTGCTTTGCCATAACTAACAAGGATCCCCAGCTTTCTGGTTTGTTGCTTCTGCTTTGGCAACGCTAACCCATCTGCTGAGTCACTTGCACATATGTTAGACTTTTATTATGGCAGCACTGTGATCCAAGTTACTCTCTGTTCCTCTTAAAATTGTATCCACTTATTTTCACTTCAGACCCTTTCCACTTTAGGCTTCAAATGTACACAGTTGAATTCATCATATTCCTCATTTTGAGGCACGTGATAATATTAAATACCTCTTGGAGAGTTTTTCCCCTTTCAGTACTAGGGATTAAGCCCAGTTTACCACTGAGCTATATCCCAAATACTTTTTTATTTTTTATTTTGAGACAGGGTCTCAGTAAGTTGCTCGGGCTGGCCTTGAACTTGAGATCCTCTTGCTTTAATCTCCTGAGTCCCTGGGATTATTGGCATGGGCCACTCACTACACCCAGCTGTCTCTGACATTTCTATTCTGTTTGATGGTTATTGTCTGAATAACCATAGCTTTACAGTATGTTTTGATAGTAGATTGTGTTAGTTTTCCAGGGGTATTGTAACAAAGAACCAAAAACTGATGGCTTAAGAGAAATTTCCTCTTTCGGGATCCTGAAGACTAGAGGTCTAAGATCAGGGTGTCAGCAGAGTTAGTATTTTGGAAGCTATAAGGAAGCATCTTTCCCATTCCCCTTTCTTAGCTTTTGCTGGTTCCTGGCAACCCTGGCATTCCTTTCTTGGTAATCATCACCCCCATCTCTGCTGTCTTCTTCACACAGCATTCTCCTGCATGCATGTCTGTGTGCCCATAGCACCTTCTCATACTCATCAACAGTATCAATAGAATTAAATGTGGATATCAGCAATGGGACCCACTAGTGTTGGAAGTAAGGGCAGTCTTTGGGGGACTTTTCCACCTGTGGGTACTAACTCTGCATAATTAGTATCAGAATTGAATTGAACTGTAGGATACCATTTGTTGTCAGCATGGGTTGTTGGTATGGGAATACCCATACATTTCATGTCAGTCTGTTGTGAGAGCCAGGCATGGTGGCGCAAGCCTGTAATAACCAGCAGCTGAGGAGGCTGAGGCAGGTGGATTATGAGATCAAAGCCAACCATTTTCACATTTTGGCATCCCTGAAATCAAGATGCCTCTTATAGTCAGTGGCATGATGTGTTTCAGTTTTTTTGTTTTTTGTTTTTTTCCCCCACAGCACTTAAAATGATGATGTGTCTTCAGTGTAGTGAAATACCACATAGTGGGCTGGGGTTGTGGCTCAGTGGTAGAGCACTTGCCTAGCATGAGTGAGGCACTGGGTTCAATCAACTTAGTGAGGCTCTGAGCAACATAGTGAGACCCTGTCTCTAAATAAAATATAAAGCAGGCTGGGGAGATGGCTCAGTGGTTTAATGCCCCTGGGTTCAACCACCTGGTACCAAGGAAAAAAAAAAAAAACGTGCTGTGAGAAAAAAACAGACCACCCTCTCCTTCATTATATTCTGCTTTCTCATTTTGCAGGTTTGCACTATAACTCATTTTCAACTTTTGAAATGATGCTCGTTTGTTTTGTCTTTATTTCATTAAAAAACACTTACTAAAGTTTGAAATTAGCCACAAGAACTACTCTAGGGGGCTAGGAGAGGAGCTTAGTGGTAGAGCACTTGCCTAGAAATCTAAGAGGCCCTGGGGGTCTATCCCCAGCACCATAACACACGAAAATAAAATTAACTGTGCCTCTCATATTTGACAGAAGTACTTCATCATCCACAAGGCACATTTTTCACATTTTGGTATCCCTGAAATCAAGATGCTTCTTACAGTCAATGGCATGTCGTGTTTCAGTTTGTTTGTTTGTTTTTCTTTCTTTTCACAGCACTTAAAAATGATGATGTGTCTTCAGTGTAGTGAAATACCACATAATGGGCTGGGGTTGTGGCTCAGTAGTAGAGCACTTGCCTAGCATGCGTGAGGCACTGAGTTCAATTCTCAGCACCACATATAAACAAATAAATAAATAAAGGTCCATCAATAATTAATAAAAAATTTTTTAAAAAGAAATACCACATAGTGTTTATTTTATTTTAATTTTGTTTTGTTTTATTGTAGTATTGGGGATTGAACCCTGGAGCATTCTGCCTCTGAGCTACACATCCCCAGCCCTTTTAAATTTTAATATGAGACTGGGTCTTGCTAAGTTGCTGAGGCTAGCCTCAAACTTGGGATTCTCCTGCCTCAGCCTTCTGAGTAGGCGGTCAGAGAGTATAGGCTGGATGTTATTCAGGAATTTATTAGGACTAATGTCTCTTCAGCCTGTCTGTGTCCTTTTATTTTCAAGGTGTCACTTGTAAACATAAAAGAGTGCCCCCTCCTGGTTACTTGTAATGTGTTGTGATTAAAAGCCTAAACTGAGAAAGTCATACAGGTGTGGGAGTAAACCCAGCCTCACTCCTCATGTGCCCTCTAACCTTCAGCTACTTGCTTTCTCTTTCTAAGCGTCCCTCTTTTAATGGGAGAAATGGGACTATCATTGCCTCCCTTGAGACAGCTGAAAGGAGGTGTCAGATGAATTGGCAGATTTTCCTGGCACAGGGGACAGCTCAGGAACACTTTGAGTCTGCTCTAGCTATGGAGGGGCAGATTCCAGTACCTCCCTCTTTGCTCTTCTTCCTGTTAGCAGAGCTAAGAACCTTGACTTAATTTGTCTTCCAAGGATCTAGGGAAGAGCAGCAATTAATGCAGTATTCTTTAAAGTGTTAAAACATGCAAGGTTAACATTTAGACCCTATTTATAATGTGGAACAGACATAGGGGGAAAGATGGGCAGCAATGTGAACCCTTTTCCTTGCTTTTTTAGAATGCAGAGAGCAGTTTACAACAGAAGAATGAAGCCATCACATCTTATGAAGGAAAAACAAATCAAGTTATGTCTAGCATGAAACAAATGGAAGAAAGGTAATCACTTCCCCTGGCAGACAGTCCATCCCTAGAACATGATAGGCATTTTGGGGGCCTAGAACCCTACTCATAGTGCCTCTTAGGAGTACAGACAAGTTGAGGTGACTTCCCTTTTCCAGACTCATAATCTTGCCCAACAAGAGGACTGGATGCAGCAGTGTGACCTAAGCACATAATCAGTTAATCTGCCTTTTGGTCACTGTGAAATCAAATTGTCCTCTCAGGGGTTAGAACCATATAATGAGTGCCTTCTCGCTGATATTTGATATTTCACATTTATATATCAAGTCATCAGTGGATCACAGTAAATTCCAAAAATAGACCACACAAATATGCTTAACTTGTTTTTACAAAAGTGAGAGTACAAGTACAGAAAGGAGAGTCTTTTCAGTAAATGATATTGGAACAATTGATACCCATACGCAAAGCAAGGAACCTCAGTCTACACCTCATGTGTCTATAACAGTTAACTGAAAATGGATCGTAAATTTCAGTGTAAAACTAAAAACTATAAAACTTTTAGAATAAAACATAAAAAATCTTCATAATGTTAGGGTAGGTAAAGAGATCTTTTTTGCAGGTGTAGCATAAAAGCATAATTCATAGGAGAAAAACTTGATAAATTAGACTATCAAAATTTTAAACTTTCATTCTGTGAAAGACATAGGAGAATAAAAAGGCGAGATGTAAATTTGGAGAAAATTTACAGATCACATATGACAAAGAACTTGTATCCAGAATTTATAAAGAACTCTTAAAAACTCAAGCAAACAATCTGATTTAAAAATGGGCAGAAGTGGGGCTGGGGTTGTGGCTCAGTGGTGGAATGTTCACTTAGCACATGCAAGGCCCTGGGTTCGATTCTCAGCACCACATAAAAATAAATAAATAAAATAAAGGTATTGTGTCCAATACAACTAAAAAAAAAAAAAATGGGCAAAAGTTTTAAACAGATATTCACCAGAGGACATACGAACAGAACATAAGTACATGAAAAGATATTCAGTATCAATAGCCATTAGAGAAATGAACAGTAAAATGATGAGATCCCACATATCTATCAGAACAGCTAGTTTTTTTTTGTTTTGTTTTGTTTTTTCTTTTTTGAAACCAGGTCTCACTATGTTGTCCAGAATGTCCTTAAGTGATCCTCCCACCTCAGCCTCCTGAGTACCTGGGACTATAAGAAAGTAGTACCATACCCAGCTAATTTTTTTTTTTTTTTTAATGACAGTACCAAGTGCTGATGAGGACACAGAGCAGTTGGAATTCTCATACATAATTAATGGGACACAAAGTGGCACAACCACTTTGGAAAATAGACTAAACATCTGTGCCACACGGTGGCTCACAGCTGTAATCCCAGTGGCTCTGGAAGCTAAGGCAGGAGGATCTCAAGTTCAAAGCCAGCCTCACCAAGAGCGAGGCACTAAGCAACTCAGTGTGAACCTGTCTCTAAATAAAATACAAAAAAAAAAAAAAGGCTGGGGATGTGGCTCAGTGGTTGAGTACCCCTGAGTTCAATCCCTAGTACCCGCCCCCCACAAAAAAAAACTAATATCTTTATCACATGACCCAATAATTGTGCTCCTAGACATATTCGAAAGAGAAATGAAACTTACATCCATACAAAAACCACTACACAAATATTTACAGCAGCTCTATTCATATTGTCAAAAACTAGAACCAATCCCAGTGTCCTTCATTGGATGAGTAGATAAACAAACTGGTACAATTATACAATGAAATATAACTCAGCAATTAAAAGGAATAAATCACTGACACAAAAAATTTTGTCGATCTCAAAGATATTGTTCCAAGAAAAAGAAACCAGTCTTAAAAAGTTCCATAAAGTATAATTCCATTTATATCATTCTCAAAAAAGTAATGCCATAGTGTCCCAGAACAGATCAGTGGTTGCCACAAGTTTGGGATGGAGAGAGGGTGTGATTACAGTGGGACAAAACTAGGGTTTTGGAGTGATATAACTGTTGTGTATCTTGGTTGTGGAGTATCTGTGTCTTGTTATACAGGTGCTAAGACTCTACATATACACACACAAGTCAGTTAGACTGTAAGTTAGTTTTAAAAGAAAAAATTCACTGGGCTGGGGGTGTTTAAAAGAAAAAATTCACTGGGCTGGGGGTGTAGCTTAGTGATAAGGCACTTGCCTGGCATACTTGAAGCCCTGAACTCAATTTTCTGTAACACTAACATGCACACAGAGAGAGAGAGAGAGAGAGAAAACTATTCAGAAGGCCGAAGGACTGCATTAACCCAAGAGTTCAGTACCAGCCTGGGTAACATAGCAAGACTGACTCATTAAAAAAAAAAAAAAAAGGAAATATTCAAGCCAGTGATAATTGTACCTTAAACTGAGATGACCCTTTCCTTACAAAGATGGAGTCCATGCGTGTGCTTGCCTCTAGGTTACAGCATTCTGAAAGGGCAAGACAGGGGGCAGAGGAGCGGAGCCACAAGCTGCAGCAGGAGCTCGGCGGGAGGGTCAGCGCCTTGCAGCTGCAGCTGTCACAACTTCACGAGCAATGGTAGGCAGAAGCATGCTGGGGAGGACTGGGAAAGTGGCTTCCAATCTTTTTTCTCATCTCCAGGAAGAATTGGGAACCAATAGTGTTCTACCCCAGAGTTTACCCAGCAAATGTAGGATTAGGATGAGATCATATATGCTAAGTGTAAAAACAATAATGAGTGAAAAGACATAGCTCTTCCCCATGTGACGAACGATATTAGAAGCAGATTCCAGGGACCCCACCCAGGACCACTCAACTGGTGAGAGAGAAGAGTCAGGATTTAAGTGGAATGTCATCTCTGACCTTGATCACCTTCTTCTGCTTCCTTCCTCCCATATTCTTGGCTGTCTATAGGCTATCATAAGCAGAATAAATACTGAATTTTCTTGACCCTCAGGTCTCTATCTCAGGAAGAGTATTCAGTGTGGTGTGAATACTAGCATTCCTAGTCCTTATGGAAGTGCAGGTGACCCTTAGGGAAAAGGAAACCTGACTTCACTACCTTGTTGAAGGGCTTAGATGCCCCTGTGGAAATTCAGGTGGTACTCCCTTCCCTGTGGAGTGAATTGTGAATCTTCTATGAAAAACCTCCATTGAGACTAACTGGTTTTGTTTTGGGAAAACAGTTCAAGTCTAGAGAAAGAGTTGAAATCAGAAAAAGAGCAAAGACAAGCTCTTCAGCGAGAATTACAGCATGAAAAAGACACCTCCTCTCTGCTCCGAACAGAACTACAGCAAGTAGAAGGATTAAAGAAGGTAAGGTGAAATTTCCTTGAGAGAAAAAGAGCATCCAGCAGTCCCCATGCTCCTCTGCTAAAGAGATGCTCCTGCCTACTCCTCCATGTGCCCTTTGTGTGGGAGCCAGGCCCTGTTCCAGGGTTTGTTTTTGCTGTTCCCAACCCAGCAAAGCATCTGAGGAAAAGGTACAGACAAATCATAAGTCAATAAGCCACCAACCATATAAGCTCAGAGAATGTTAAGTGCTATGAAAAGAATAAAACAGGAGGGTTTCCTCACAGTGAGGCAGAGGATCTGGGAAGAGAAAAACTGACAAGCAGAGGCTTGAATAATGAGCAAAGACAGCCCAGGAGACTTGGCAGGGTACCTTTCAGGCCAGCAGTCCATTTCATTTGAGAACAATCACCATCTACTGGTGGAGAGCCAGTGGCAGATTTGCAGAAAGAAAACTAGAGTATTGTAGGAGAGTTCAATATTTTTGAACATATGCCAGTCTATACTTTCACCCCAGAGGTTGGCCAGCCACTCTGTCCAGAGTCAGGTCATCTCTAGGAAGCAGACTGAACCAGAGCCCAAAATAAGCCCTAGGGAAAACCTGAGGCATACATTTTCCCTGGTATCACCTCTGTCCTCTGGAGGCCCCAACTTGTTTGAAGATATGTCCTGGATCCTGAGGCTTCAGTGAGCAAGAGAAGAGGGGGTGCTAGTACGGCATCACTGCCTGGTTATAGAATTGGACACCTCTCAGGAAACTACGAGGTAATCTGAAAATGTTTTCCCTAATATAGTCAGCCAGCTTCCCAGAAGTTTCTACCATTCTGGATAAAGTTAGTTCCAGCCTGGTGTACTGTGACTTGCAGAGGTCTTCCCTTGTTGGGGGGGGGGGGGGTCATACAACAGGTTCCCAAGCAGGATTGAGCCAAAAAAGTGCACTGCCTTCACCATACCTTCCAGTCACAAGGGTCCGTTGTCACCAACACAGCTTCCAGACCTAGGTTTTGTGCATTGATGAGGTAGTAGATACTGCTATGCAGTTAGAGCCAAGAGGTTCTCTTGGTTGCCGTTAGAAAGTGTCTTAAGTTGCTGCAGAAGGGAAAGGTTCTGCAGGACTCAGAGGGGATGAGGGAGGAAGTAGAGGATAAGAGGGGACCTTTAGAAAGTTATGCTGCATCACAGAACATATTCCTCTATTCCTCCTCAAAATATTTTGGTCTGTATTTGAAATACCTCCTCCACCCGTCCCCCAACAAAAGAAACAATGTGTCTGACATCACCAATAAGCCTCAGGATGCCTTTGAGCCCTTGATAGGTTGTAGGTTCCCAAGGTACAGGGGGGCATGTCTGGGGAAGCTGCTCACTGCTTGGTCTAAGTCTCATTGTTGTTCCCATCAGCCCAAAAACCCTGTGTCTCCATTCTGGCCTTGCCAGGTGTGCTGGTCCCAGATCACAGTCTGTGTCCTCCATTGAGCTTCCCTCCCTCACATAGCTTTTCATACAGTCTTAAGTGGACTCAAACTTGGTATTCTACCTCAGCCTCCAGCTGCTGGCATTACGGGTATATAACCACTGCACCCAGCACCTTCATATAGTTTTGTATAAGACTCATCTATATACTTTTTAAAATAGCTGCTTTTAAAAAATATCTGTCTTGGGCTGGGGATATACCTCAGTTGGTAGAGTGCTTGCCTCGCATGCACAAGGTCCTGGGTTCAATACCCAGCATCACCAAATAAACAAATAAAAATGTCTGTCTTTAATAGAAGCCCAGGCAAAGCCTTACTTGCCTTGTAAGGATAACTGTTTTTAATGTGGTTATTCTCTGTCCCATGTCCCTGTCCCCAGCTGAGAGCCCCTACAATAGCACTCACTTTTCAGCTTCCCATTCTTAATAAGCGGGTGAAAAATAATCCACTAATGTCTTAAATGACAATAATGCAACAAACGACATTTTGCTCTTGCAAGATTTTCTGATATAGCCACATGTGGTGGCACACATCTGTAATTTCAGCTACTGCAGAGGTCGAGGCAGCCGGATCGCAAGTTCAAAGCCAGCCTGGGCAACTTAGCAAGACCCTGTCTCAAAATAAAGTGAAAAGGGCTGTTGGTGTAGCTCAGTGGTGGAGTACTTACTTAGCACAAAAGCCTGGGTACAATCTCCAGGCACCCAAAAAAAAAAAAAAAATCTGATCTTCTTGTTGATCTGGCTACTAAATCTTAAGTGGTGTGCAGTGACAATGTGATTCTATATCAGACCTGGCTTATCCATTTTAGGAGCTGCGAGAACTCCAAGAGGAGAAGGTAGAGTTACAGAAGGTCTGTGATGAGCAAGAACAAGCCCTCCAGGAAATGGGACTGCACCTCAGCCAGTAAGAATCCTGATTCCCCCACCTTCCCCTGGTGCACAGGGCTGGGTCTAGCAGGCTTGCTGTAGCCTCTCCATTAGAAGTATCACACAAGTCCAGTCTGCCCACCTCACCCAAACCTATTTCCTGTTGTTAGGAGGAGGCAGCGCTATTCAGGAGGCCTGTCTGCTTTCAAGGGTGACCTCCTAGGAAGTCAGGCCTCTAGGGAATCAAGCCCTGATATCAACTATGGGGATTTTAATCAGCTATTGATTAATTTATTGTGAATATTCTTTTCTATTGACCAGAACACTCATGTTCACAAACTTAACATCTAGATCCTAAGGATGATGCTGGGTCAACTTACAGTCAGGCCAGAGTGAACAGAGGTGGTTTAAGAAAGACTGCCATGCAGCCAGCACACTGGCCAGCCCTGCCCACCTGCCTTTTCTGGGAGTTGACACTTGGATCCACCAGAGGCTCTTTTCTGCCAGGTTCTGATGGTGCACAGACCCTGGTAGCCTTGACAGGGTTACACAGTGTCCCAGTGTCCCAGTCTGGATAGATTGCTCTGCACACATGGCCCTGGAAATAGGTCACACTGCAGATTTTAGACCTTGTCCATTTCTACAATAATTCAGTTTTCAAAGAGTGGATAGATAAGATATTTCTTCTTATGGGTTAAGTCTGTCTTGGTTGCAAGTGATAGAAATCCAACTCAAACTGGCTTAAAAAAAAAAAATCAGGAGTCAGTCTACCTCCTACCTCTGCTGTCCTATTATATACCTCACGGGTGTGTCTAGCCCCCACAGGGGCAAGATGGTACCCAGTGGGACCACTTATCAGAGGAAGTTCCTCTTTCTGCATAGCTCCCAGAGACCTGAGGAGTTTACTTTCTGCTCTCCAAAGTCTTGGACTATCACTTAACACAAGTGCCATGACCATAGAGATAGGGGCCTGGTAACCAGCATAGCTTGGGCTGAGGTGTTATGTGGCCATCACAGGTCCATGGATGGGAACGAAAATTAGAATAAGCTAGAAACACTCATGTTGCATGTGGGTGTGTACAAACTTGGAATTTTTTTCTTCTCAGTATAGAAAGGTCAAAGGTCTTTTTTCTTTTTTTTTTTTTTTGGTACCAGGGATTGAACTGAGGGGCACTCAACAACTGAGCCACATTCCCAGCCCTATTTTGTATTTTATTTAGAGACAAAAAGTCTTACTGGTTGCTTAGCGCCTCACCATTGCTGAGGCTGTCTTTGAACTCGCAATCCTCCTATCTCAGCCTCCCAAGCCATTGGGATTACAGGCATGTGCCCAGCAAAGGTCTTCCATTTTTTAAGAAAAATAAGAGGCATGGTGGCACACACTTGTATTCCCAGCTGCTCAGGGGGCCAAAACAGGATTACAAGTTCAAGGCTAGCTTCAGCAACTTAGCAAGACCTCATCTCAAAATTTAAAAAATACAAGAGGACAGGAATGTAACTTAGTAGTAGAGTGCCCTTAGTTTTATTCACCAGTATAGTAAAAAATAAAAATAAAAGACAGGTCTGGTGGGAACATATTCTGTATATTCCTACATGCAGATGAAGATGCTGCCTATTCTCCATCCTCACCCACCGTCTGTGAGTGTGGGCTTAGACAAGCTTAGGGCTGCTGCTTAGCCCCCTCCTACCCTCATCCCTGCCATCTTCTGGGGCTGAGTGTCCTGCAATGCTCTCAGCTGGCTGGGTAATCATCTTGCTCTGGCCTCTGCCCCACTGGGGGCAGTTCCTTGAGAAATGGCAGAGCCAAATGTCTTTCCTTGTTTTCCAATCACAGGCCAGTTCTTCAGGCACCTCAGGAACACTCACCAGAAGCAGACTTGGAACTTGGGGATGGCCAGAGCAGGCCACTTGGGTTTGCAGCCAGGAGCGTGCACCATGCTTCCTCCTACCTGTCCTCTCACACTGGACAAACTCAAGGCACAGCTAGAATTTACCCTTCTAATGAGCCAGAGACCTCAAAAATGTCAGTGGCCTTTGATCTTGGAAATGTCCCAGTCACCATGCTGCTCACAGCTGAGTTCTGTAGCTTTTGCAAGGTCAGGCACGTGCAACCCAGACAGGACCATCTCAGGAGTTGCTTTCATGCTGTCTCCCCTTGTTCTTTCTCCCTCCTGCAAGCCAGTACCAGGTGCCAGAAGAGGAAAAACCTGTTCTCAGACCCCATTACCAGCTAAGAAAGTTCCTGTATCTTGGCGACTTTTGGGTGCTTCCTGAGTTGTGTTTTCCAGAATTCTTGTGTGTTCAGACTGCCATCATGACCTAATTTGCCAAAGCCTGTCCATCTGGACTGTCTCTGATCCTGTCAGCGTGCTGGCCTATTTCTGCAACTGAATAGGGGAGGGAAGGAGCTGTCTGCAGGATCAGTAGTGAATGCCTGATGCTATTTTCTAATCCCTCATTTAGCAATCTGGCCTGTTTCCCCCAGAGACCTGCCATTTTGACAGTCTAATCTAATGTCAATTTATTTATTTATTTATTTTTTAGGGGAGAGAGAGAGAGAAAATTTTAATATTTATTTATTTTTAGTTTTCAGTGGACAACATCTTTGTATGTGGTGCTGAGGATCGAACCCAGGCCGCACGCATGCCAGGCGAGCGTGCTACCGCTTGAGCCACATCCCAGCCCCTAATCTAATGTCAATTTAGATTGATCTCAGCTTTTAAGAAAGGCTCAGACTTCCCCCAAACTGCAAATGCATAGTTTGATTTTATTTGATTTAGTTCTGCCAATTTAGACCATGTTCAGTCCTGTCTCTTATGTGAACAACTAAATAATTATTCCTAACAACAGAGTGGAGAATGAATGAAGCAAGAACAAATGACCAGCCAAGTGTGGTCATTTACAAGCCTGTAATTCCAGCAACTTGGGAGGCCAAAGTAGGAGGACTGCAAGTTCAAGGCTGGCCTGGACAACTTGGAGACCCTGTCTCAATTTTTTTTTTTTTTTTTTTTTGGTGTGTGTTGGGGGTGGGGGGTGCTGGGGATTGAATCCAGGGCCTTGTTAATGTTGGACAAGCAATCTACCAACCAAGCTATCTCCCCAGCCCTCCTGTCTCAAAATTAAAAAAAAAAAAGAGGCCAGAGGTATAGCTCAATGGTTAAGTGCCCTTGAATTAAATCCTCAGTTCCAAAACAAACAAGACCATGCCTTTTGAGCCTGCCTCTTGGAATACTGGCCAGGGAGAATTGAGAGAAACCAAGCCTTTCCCTACTGCAAGCACGTCACAGATCCAAAGAAGCCAGAAACCTGGGCTTCTATGAGATCATTATCAATTTTTAAATGATTGGAACCACTTTAAAATCTTTTCAAATCCTTGCAGGCTACAGTCTGTTCTTGGCCCAGATTTGATTCCAAGCTCAGCCTCAAAAGAGTGTTTCATTTTATTTACACATAAGCCAGTGTGATGAAGTGTCTGGGATGACACTTCTTAGTCCTAGTGTTTTCACAGAGCCCACAGTCACTGCAGTTTTGTTAAAATTCTAGAACCTCTCATTGCTACAAAATTATCTCTTTTTTGCCCTCCAGGTCCAAGCTGAAGATGGAAGACATAAAAGAAGTAAATAAGGCACTTAAGGTATTAGATTATGTTATTAGCATAAGAATTGCCATGAGTATGTGCATTTATGTGTTCCCCAATCAGATGAGAACGTGGTTGAGGCAGTGGAGGTAAAGACAAGAGTTTCATGTCACTTGACAGTGGCAATGACTAACAAGTGGACAAGTGTGAGCTGGAACCTAGATCTTCTGATTGCAGTTCCTTTGCCATCAGCTGTACCTTTAAAATAGGCCTAGATGACAGGTACCCCAGAGGAAGGAAAATGTAGAAGGAAGAAAGCTGGAATTTTCCCCCCCAGATTAAGAACCAGAGATCATGATATAGGCCCCATTGCAGAGCACCATGTCACTTCCGGGAACTTTAAACCAAATCCTGAGTTGTTTCTGGACAACTGAAAGATTCTAGATAATTCTGGGGACGGCAGAATGCGACATACCACTTAAGAACGGGAACAAGCAGGGAATCCATGTGTGTGCTAGCTGTGGAGAATGGGAGCAAAGGCAAACTTTCTAGGCTTGCCATCACTCCCAGGGCAGGCTATTCAAAGCAGGGCAGCCCCCCTGTTTGCAGGAGCTTTTCTGACTCCATTCTGCTTTGGCAGCAGTGCCAAAGCAGTCCTCCTCCATCTGTCACCCTTTGTGTGTCCAGAACAGAGACTCTCAACATTGCTGTATCTAACTTCCATGTACAATAGTAGGTGAGAAGCAAAAACTGTCACAGCAACTAACAGCAGTATGAACTTCTATGTAACATAAGTTTACTTTGTCCCCAGGGCTGGGGATGTGGCTTAGTGGTACAACACTCAATGTGTATGAAGCCTTGAGTTCCATCCCCAGCACAAGGGAACAAAACAAAATCAACCCTCCCTTACAAACTGAAAATTCCTTGGCTGTAATTTTTATAAGACACCTGCCTTTATATCCCCCACCATATGTAGAAGTGTACAGCAGTGACAGCTTAACTGTTTAGAGGGAGGATAAAATCATAGAACAGGACCCTGGAGCTACTTTGAGCTCTTTTGAGGTGGGATGCATCCTGGGCACACATTTGGTAGCCCCAAGGGCCTGCTGTTATGTCCAACAGATACTAAAGGGCCAGAAAAGTGCATCATTTCTGACCCCAGTCCCTAAGGCTGAATAAAAGACATGTCCTATTTTCCCAGAGAAAGTCTTCCAAAATTCATCTTTCAAAGCCCCAGATGCCTCCTCTACAACTGAGCTAAGCTGCTTCCCAGGGCTGAGGGTGGGGGTTGGGCATTCATGAGGACATGCTGCACATCTCCCCAGGGACCCATGTCACCAGTTGTCCTGGTCCCACTCAGATATTACCCGTCTTCCTTCTATTAGTTCAGGTAGTTACTCTGGATAGTGTCTCAGGCATGGCTTAAGAGAAGCAAGCACCAGAAACTGACTCTGGTGATGTCAGCCAAAGGGATTTATTGAAAGGGCAAGGGAGAGGCTCAAAGTAACAGGATGCTAGAGAATCTTTTAAGGCCCAGTGGGAGGCAGACCAGAAGGCTGAGAGGGCAGGCACCATCTGGAACACATGAATGACAACTGCAGTCATAGCAGTTCCCTACATTACAGCTTGTATGAGGCCACATCTGGCAGGAAAGCAGCAATGCCTCACAAGGAAACCAGATGTGATTAGGGAGAGACAGTGGATGCAGCCAAACACAGGTAATTTCTCTCCCATCAGAGGCCAAGACATAAAATGGAATTCCAGGGTTTTCTTTCTCCTCAGGGTCATACTTGGCTGAAAGATGACGAAGCAACACACTGTAAGCAGTGTGAAAAAGAGTTCTCCATTTCCCGGAGAAAGGTATGTAGGGGTGAGTTGTCACCCACTGAGATTCCCCTTTCTCTAGTTCCTTGTCAAACCGGATGTTAAAATGTGATCACACTCATTGGTCTGCAAATGGGCAATTCTCCCCCCAACGTATCTATGCAACTGACTGTCCAGCCTGGCTCCCCTCACTTTTGGGGACCCTGGCCAGTACAGGCCCCTCATCACCAGTCCTTTTCATGACACAGCTGCTGTAGGGAAGTACACCATTGCAAATTTTCTGTGTGCAACAGGACCAAAGTCTGGCCAATTTAGGCAAAAACAGAATCCACGGGAAGTCACCAAAAACTCACTGGGGCCCCAGTCAGGGCACTTGCCCCAGGTAAATCTGCCTGTTTGCATAGCCACCTCCAGGATCTAGTTAGACTCCTAGGCCCTCCTCCTTTGGCCCAGGATACAAGGGGTCTTGAGCAGCCTCAGCAAAACAAGCTGAGTATGGAAAAGCAAACAAAGCAACACTGGGAATTTAAGGGCAAGTCCTGTCCCGCTGCCACTACCAACCCCGTCCACACACCTTTGGGTTCCATGTCCACATCTGCTCCTATTAATATCCTTTGGGAAAGGAAAAGCCAGAGTCCTTGCCAGTGTCGGACAGTAGGTTCAGAGCTGGAGACACCCTTCTTGAGGCTGCCTTTTCGATCATGTCTGTCTACAGTGCAGGCCTGACTGGCCCCAGGTGAGTGGTTTGGTTCAAGATCTGGGTCTAGTCTAACAAGTCTGTAGAGCCAGTAAGAGCAGAGGATGCCCACTCTGCCCACCTGGTGTCTGTCACATACTCAAGGAGCCCAAGCACCTAAGAGGTTCATGGCAACAATTTTATAAAGTGAGTGACTCCCTCACGCCCCAGGAAGGCTGGCTAAAAACACTGGGTCACCACTCTGGAATGCAGCAATCAGAGAATGAACCAGGATCTCCATAACACTGGGATTGCTAGACAGTGTCACTGTGGGGAGGGACCTCAATGTATTAGGGTGGGTATGCAGATCACATCTCCCTAGGGGTCTGTGACTACCTTTTTCCTGTCCTCTAGCACCACTGCCGGAACTGTGGGCACATATTCTGCAACACCTGTTCCAGCAACGAGTTGGCCCTGCCCTCCTACCCAAAGCCAGTTCGAGTGTGTGACAACTGCCACACATTGCTGCTGCAGCGCTGCTCATCCACTGCCTCCTGAGGCCTGGCCAGCCACCTTCAAGAGCCTCAGCATGGAGGGCAGCCTCAGGTACAGTGCCAAACTCTGGGTCTCCAGGGAACACCAGAGGCTGGGGAAGTTTCCCAAGAGAATCAGAGAATGAGATCTCCACTTGGTGGCTGTTGCTCCGAAGACAGTGTGCCAAGTGGCTGTTGAGCACCTAGTATGAACTAACTGCAACTAACTGCTGGACTGAAACTCTTCCATCTGCTTTGTTCCATCACTGACTTTGGTCCATATGTAAACATGATTTCGCTGTCATTTTTCACTTCTCAAATTTATCCTTTTTTATAGCAGTTGTACTCTAGTATGCAATCAGTTTTTCTCCTCCCCAAAATTTTTTATTTGTGCAATGCTTTATAGCACAAAGCATCTATCCTTGTGCTTTGTCTGCTTTAGAGATTTGCTCTTCCATGTCCTTGTGAATACCTCTTGTTGGCCATGCAATAAAGTCATTTATTTTTCCCTGGTGTGTACAAAAAGTTTGTGTCAACTGCACAGAAGCCTGGGGCACCCTGCCCTCCAGCTTGCTCTTAGGGTTCTGAGCCATGAGGTCCATAGCCAGGAGAGCAAGGTTTTAGGTGAAGATGCTTTTGAGTGGGCATTGCACAAGTTGGGGCTATGGCCTTAAGCTTGTTATCAAAGCTCAAGTCATTCATTTATTTATAGAGGTGCTGCTTAATTTACAATGGGGCTATGTCCAGATAAGTCAAAATACTATACCTAACCTGTCAAACATCATAGCCTGCCTGCAATATGCGCTTACAGTTGAGCACTCATCTAACACAAAGCCTGTTTTATATAAAGCATGTGATTTATTGGAAAACTCTAGTTTTGGGGTACACCAGTGAAAGTTGAAAAATGACCCAAGTTGAACCATCTTAAATCAGGACCATCTATTTATGGGAGTGGATAAATGATAGATAGAAGAACCTGTGGAAAAAGTACCTGCCACACATTATTTTTAATTTCATAAACAGTGTGAAAGCCAGGCGTGGTGGTACATAATCCCCAGCGGCTCAGGAGGCCAACATAGGAGGATTGCAAGTTCAAAGCCAGCCTCAGCAAAAAAAAAAAAAAAGCAAGGGGCTGTGAGACCCTGTCTCTAAAATGTATCCCCCACACACACACCCCCAAAAAAGCAGTGAGTACACTGTGCCTAGTGGCCCACTCCTATAATACAGCAACTCCAACGAATGGCAGGACAACAAATTCAAGGCCAGCTTTAGAAAGCTAATGGAACCCGTCCTCAAAGATTTGGGCAGGAGTTGAGGGTGAGGCATTTATTTTCAAAGGACTGGGGGCCGCATGCAGTAGCACATGCCTGTAATCCCAGTGGCTTGGGAGGCTGAGGCAGGAGGATCACAAGTTCAAAGCCAGCCTCAGCACTTAGGTCTCACTGAGTTGCTTAAGGCCTCACTATCTCTAAATCAAATACAAAATAGGGCTGGGGATGTGGCTCAGTGGTAGAATGCCCCTGAGGTTTAATCCCCAGTACCCCACCATTACCACCCCAAAAAAAGACCTGGAATGTAGCTCAGTGGTAGAGAACTGCTGGGTTCCAGCCTCACTAACCCCCCTGCCCCCACCCCCACCAAAAAAATGCTAGGGCAGGTACTGTTTTCGGACTGTTCTTCTCTGGAGCCCCACCTGAGGTAATGCAATGCCCAGACATCAGACAAGTCAGTCCAATCTAGGTCTTAGACTTCCGACCTTCTAGACTGACACCTTGCTTTTCTAAAACCCCATGCTTTCACTTCCCACAGTTCCTTAGCTTGATATTAGCTGTACCAGACCTGCCATAGTAGAACCCAACACTGGCTGTCTTTCCTTGGGCTTTTCCTGCAGAAGGTCACCTACAGCCTCCATCAGTCCTGACTCTATGACATATCTATAGTACTGTCAAAACCAAACTCCACATTTATTGCTCCCTTCAACATCTGTCTTACAGATGGAAAAATGTGGGAGGGTCAGAAGTTTAGGCCCCAGGATTTACCCAGGGCCCTACAGCACAGAACTGCATAGCAAGACTTCAAAACTAGATCTGCCCCACATTAAAGCCACATTCATTCCACACTGTAGGCTTTTTTTTTTTTTAAGGCATTTTAATTAATTGCTTGTGGAAATATGAAGCTACTTTGGAAGACAGTTTGGAGATTTTTTAAGAATTTAACCTTTATTTTTTATGTGGTGCCAAGGAGTAAACCCAGTGACTCACCTGTACTAGGCAAGCACTCAACCACTGAGCTACAACTCCAACCCCAAGCTATGTTTTCAAACCCTATTATAGAACCACATGGCATCACAATAGACTACATATATATATACAAAGCACCTGTTAACCCCACACAGGGCCCAATTTTCAGGAAAAGTTTACATCCCCAAACTGTTCTGGTACCATCTATCTGTACGTTTATTTTCAGTGCGCCCAAATTGAACTTTCAGGGAGCTTTAGGGAAGTCACTTCACTTCTGAGCATTAGGTCTCATCTGCACACACAGAAAAGGAAGGAAAGTAATACTTTCCTACTTCAACACTGCTCCGAACATTCAATAAAAAAAATTTCACATGAAAATTCCCACTAATATGTCTGATATTTCACCCAACCTTGACAATGGACACAGGTCTAAAGGATACAAACACTTAGTTGTCTCGGTGGTCAAAATAACATACTCAGAATTGAAATATACATCTGAACTCTGGAACCTGCTAAGTCCCTGGTTTGGCACCACTCATCCCAACAAGAGGGCCAGCCAAGTAGTGCCTCTGAAGTATAAACATGCAGGTGATGAGGGACATGGCAGGGGCAGGGGTCAGGGGTGGGATGCACACTCATGTCTGGTTTAAAATGCAGATTCTTAAGGCTGGGGGTATAGAAGAGTGATATAGCTATTGCATAGTATTCAGTTCAAATCCCAAAAAAAAAGATTCTGTAGTCATTGCAAGGTTCCAGATGAGGGACTGATTCATGAAGCACAGGACTCAAAAGAGCCATAATGGTTCTTAACCTCATTTTTAAAATCCCAGTGCCTAGGCCAGACTGGCCTAAACTTGCAATCCTCCTCAACTAAATGTGCCACCATGCTCTAGCCAGGCCAAGTGTCTCAAGATGTTTCTTATTCCAAGCACTGTTACCCAAAGGATCCACAGAAGAAATTCAAGGCTCAAAGTTCTTGGTTGTAGATTAACTTACCAAGATCACAAGGGCAGCATCACGTTTAGCAAATCATGACATTATAGTATCAACTCCTAATACTGCCTGGCCTGAAAATTATCTCTAGGCCTGTTTAAGATAAAAACTACATGGTATATTGTAGGCATTTCCATCCACTAGTGTGGAACTGCATCCTCCTCCCAGCAGGGCATGCAACCAAGCGACACCTGCAGAACCCTCCATGTAAGTCTTCTATGTGCAATGCTGCCAAGGAAAACAAGAAATGAACAAAACACTTTTTCAAGTCTATTCACTGTACAGTAACAAGTTTAAAAACCTTCAGGATGGGCATGGTAATAATTTAACAGCTTTAAAGGCCATAAGCCCACACACCACATGACTGCAACCTAAATTCTCTAATACCATTTGAATAAGTAATGTTTCCCAAACCACAAGGACCTTATTTATACATCTACCAAAGAGCTTCCTTGGTCTGTATCTCTAAGAACTGCCTTAACTTATGTCTAGGTGTTGTGTCCAACTGCAACTGAAAAATATTAAAAAAAAATCATTTGAACTTGAGCAAGCAAAACATGAATTTCAGTGTATGAAATTAAAGCTAATTATGTGCACACCAAGAAGCGCTTTATGATATTTTAATTGTTTTGCAAGGCAATGGGAGTTTTGCTCCCAAATGGACTTAAGAATTAAGCAAAAATGTAAAGCTGAAAACTGCAATTTCAGACAGTGAAGGATCTGCGGTTATAGCTCAGTGTTAGGTACCATACTTGTCTAGCTTGTGTGAGGCACTGGGTTCGATCCTCAACACCACATAAGAATGAAGGTATTGTGTCCATACAACTAAAAAATGTCTGTGAGCTGGGTATGCAGCTCAGTGGCAGAGTGCTTGCCTTGTATGGGTGAGGCCCCAGGGTTCACCAGAACAAAAACCATCTTATGACCTTTTAGCAGACAACCTTTATACAAAATTCAAAAAATGCAATCAGACCGGGGAGGGCAGCTTCCAGCCACCCCCTTGCTTCTGGAATTTTTTGTAGCCATGCCTGAAGGCCTCCCAGACATGCAGGCCATGCAATGAGCTCCCCTTTGTTTTATGCAAGTGCTTACAAGTTATAAGCAGCTCAGATCAGGTCCTGTGCAGCCAGGCCAAACCATACAGCTCTTCCAAGGACCCCAAAGCCATGTTTACCTGCAGTTGCACTGAAGGGAATTGAAGTCTGAAGACATCTAACAACAGCCTCAACTGCCGAGCCTCTCTGCCAGTCAGATAGGAGGACCTACGCCCCAGGCAGGAATAGAGCACCAAGAAACAGTCCACATGACACTGAAGCACAGACAAGACAAAGTGCAGTTTTTAAAAGGAAGATTTATTTGACAAGTTTCACTTAGCGCAATACACCTAAAAGGAAATCACAATACAATGAAGATTTAAATCAAGGCCTCAGAATTTCATACAAACACCAAGACCGAAATCCTAAAGTATTGGTATTGCGTCTCAAATATTCCCAATTAACTTAAAAAAAAAAAAAGCTTAAAACTTACGTGCCTTACAGGTTATTAAAATGAAACTAGAATTAACAAACATGCCAAAATGTTTCACTTTTAATTGTAGACACAGCTCCTATATTGAGTTTTACAAAAAGCATGTCTTTCAACATGCATCCAAACAGTGTTCAATGTAATATGGTATAAGAGCAACATTTAACATAATTCAACTGCTTTAACCTAAATACGCTTACTGCTTAAGTACATCCTACAATATAACTAACTTGAGAAAAGCTGAAAATTGTTTAACAGTTATAGTTTACTCAACTTTGCTGTTAACATCCTGGATGACTGCTGTGTTCAAAAATACTGAACCTTAAATCTTTCAAATAATCCTGATTCCCACATATAGAGTAAGCATAAGTCACAAGCTTGGATTTCAAAAACTGTTAAACTGAAGTTTTGTTTTTTCTTTAAAAAAAAGTTGACCAAGAGTCAGTGATCAGGATCAATTACATTCCCCATCCACCACTCATACTGGACATGCTAGACATCCCTCCCATTCCGTTCACGCCCATAGATGCACGGCTTCCACTATTGTAGTAGCTGCTGTTCATTGCTCCTTGGCTACCTGCAAAGAGATCAATTTGACAAGTTAGAAGTAGTGTCAGACACTCAGTCAAATAAAATAATGCATTCCAAGAAAAAATTTAAAATGTATACGAGTACAAATGGCTGCTGTCCAAGTGGCGAGAAGCATGTTTGGGAAAGGGGAATCCCGACTCCAAACAAGTCTCAATTAACCCCTTTTCTCTGCAGTACCAACTTGCCAGACTCTTGTGCTACCATTTAAATGGATTCTTCAGGATCAACGTAGAAAATTAAGTTTAAAGGAAAACTAGTGTTTTTCAAAAATTGCAAAATTACTTCATTTTTTTAAAGCTAAGCAAGGCATTAAAAAAAAAAAATTTACCATAACAATCACATTGTGTTCTTCGAATGGCATGTATGAATAGGGAGCACAGGGGATGTCTCTTGCTTTTCCTATTCATAGTGGGCAGGAAGTGAGAGGACAAAGTTGGACTAAAGGCAACTCACTGTGCCCAAAATGGCAGCCTCCATGGAGTTAAGTCAGAGCCATTGACTGCTATAGAAATAGTGTTATTACAACATATCAGTATTTGCTATTGAGAATTTAAATTATATTTTTTGAGAAAATATTTACCTATGCAATGTTTGATTGAAAATCACTGGAGTTTTCCTGTAAAACTTGGTCTGCAAAAGGATTTTGTAGGGTAAGACTATAATACCAAAATCACCATTCTTTAGACCAATTGAAAAAAAAATTAATAAAACCATCTCTATGTTAACTGACTAGTAAATAACGGTCCTAAACCCAACCACCATTCTACTTTAAAAATCTCCCTCCATCAAAAATTGATTTAACCAAAAGACAGAAAAAGTGTACTATTCTAATGTTTTAATAAATGAAGGCATGGTTTCTGGCTCGATAGTATTTCAAAGTTGCAATCACTAATTTATTAAATTCATAGAACATTTCCCCCGCCCAATGATTGTTTCTGAGAATTAAGCTATTAAGAACAATTAGGATCAAAAGCATACATTTAATAACCCAATCTCACAAAAAAGAAACCTGCATAATTTCCCAACTAAAGAAACCTACCTAAACTTTATTTTACGTATATAAAAAAACATGCTTACCATATCCACTCATGCTGCTCTGGCCTCCATAGCCTCCTCCATAACCACCACTCAGCTGCTGGCTAGCTGGGCCACCATAACTGGACTGGTTTGCTGTTAAGTTAAGAGAACATTAGAGCTTTGTTCCTTATGTAATGTGGTACCTGGTGGTACCGAGCTTGTAATTCTATATCTATGATTTTCCAGTCTTCATCTTATATTACTAACCCTGTCTCCTGTCTATTGTCTATTTACCAGATTAACTCTTCTATTCGTCATTGAGCTAGTCAAATATTTATGAACCAAATGGTTAACAGCAGCATACACGTCAGCAGGACTAAATCCACGATTCCTTAAGCAGAGGCATTTTGTGAACATCTCATGAAACTGCTTGACTGGATTTAGTGGGGTTTCCCCCTTAGCTTGTTACGTTTATGTCAATACACAGGTATCACTAAATACCTAATTATCCCCAGCTAATTATGCCCCCAAATTAATTATTTTAATCCTGTTTTTACTATTTTATTTTAGATGTAAGCTTCATACTCTAATAATTTAGCTGCATTCTACATTTCCCCCCAAAGTACTTAAATCTAATTTGAATTATCTATCCTGAGCAGTTGATTCAACTCGAAATTTACATAGTAAATAATACAGTCATTACAAAATTCATTTAAAGTAATAAACTGCTTTCTTTGCCTAACTTAAATTGTTACGCTAACTTAATTATACTAAACTTAAATATTATGCTACACTTATTAATTATGCTACACTTATTATAGATTAACTTAACTTACAATAATCGACTTATACAGATATTTTGGTTTTTAAAAAAACTAACGATATTTACACAAGCCCATGCCTCCCATCATTTGGCTACCATAAGCACCACCGCTTGCTCCTGCTGTAGAATTCAAGAAGAGTTCTACATATCTGTGTTCTGAAATGAGAGAAAAGGTATACAAGGTTAGCTTAAAAAAAGGACACTAAAGTGATATTTACACAAACCCATGCCTCCTAGCATTTGGCTACCGTAAGCACCACCGCTTGCTCCTGCTGTAGAATTCAAGAAGAGTTCTACATATCTGTGTTCTGAAATGAGAGAAAAGAAAGTTTGAAAATGTTTGTTGGTGAAAGAAAACAAGATAAACACTAAGTTCTTTAACAAGTAGATCTGTGAACTTCAAACACTTTTGGTAAAAAAAAAAAAAAGTCTAGCTACTTCTCTGATGTTTGTAGAAACTTGTCTTTAATAAAACATTCATCTAAATTATAAAAAACAAACTTCAAGATATGTTCATAACAAATCTCCTTCAGTCATAACTAATTTTAAAACCCACAAATTTCCAATATATCCAAACCCACTATTCTATTTCTCTATCTTAAAATGTTCACAACCACCTAAGTGTCCCCAAGTGATTAATTCAGACTTACGCATATTTGCTTTGTCTTTTGACATAGCTGCCACAGCATCTTCATGAGTAGCAAACTCAACATCTGCTTCACCAGTTACTCTGCCATCAGGACCAATCTCAATGTGTACTCTCACAGGATTGAGTGGTGAAAAAAACTAAAACGACATTTCAAAGAAATCAAGTCAATTTGCTACTATTATGAAAAACTAAACTGTAAACCCAATTTTCTTCGAGTAGAATAAGGTCCAAGTTTTACTGTCATACTAAATATCTGACTTGTGAATTCATATTGTACTTACATTATAAATGTCATTCTCAGTAGCTCTGTAAGGTAATCCCCGCATGTGTACACAATGCCCTGTTGTGCTCTGGAAGGTAGAACCACCATCCCCATATCTGTGATCAGACATTCCTGAAAAACAGTAATTGAGGTCTAGATGGACAAGAGTGTAATACTCCTCAGCTGAGAAATTCAATTCTTACCTTACCTCTTCCAAATCTATCTGACCCAAATCCATAGCCATCATTATAGCCATTATAATCATCATAGCCTCCATAGCCTGAAAGACAAAAAGTACAATTAATCAAATGAAAATACCTAGACAAACAAGGAACAAACTGGTCCCACCTTGCACATCACCACATACCTCCACCATAAGCACCACGCCTCATCCTCTCAAAGCCAGCTCCTCTGCCAATGCTGTTATACCCTCTGCCAGCCCCAGGTCTGTCATAGGGACCTGGCCGCTGCATGGCCATAAGCTTTCTTGGTGGATCATAATGAGTTCTAACTTCAGCTCGACTGCTCTTAAATATTTCAATATACCTAAAGCAGTGTTCAAGAGGGAGGGGAATGGGGAGGGGAGAGAAAACATTAGTTCATTTCATACAGGTGTTTAGCTATACAAGAAAACAATCTAGTCATAGCCATGAAACTGACTAATATTTAAAGCCAGATTTCTTATATTTGCATAGGCAATGACCAGAAATTCACTCAATAATATTACTTTAAATGTAAAATTTACAGGGAAAAAACTCCTCTGAGGCAGAGCCCAACCTTAGGGGTAGAGAGGAGTACTATAAATAAATGATTTAGGAGGGAAATAATTCCACTCAACTTTCAACACATTTCAACTCAAATCCATTGGCAGTATGTATAGCAAGTGGGCTAAAAGGCCAGCCTCCACCAACAATCTAGCCCACACTACACATTTCCTCTCGCCAATATATACCCCAGCCTATGCTTTTAGTAGGAATCAGCATAGGTAAGCGCATGCTTCAATGAAAAATAGTCACAAGCAGAGAGAATAAAACCTTTTGTGACAATTTCTTGAAAGCTATGCTTATTAATACATATGCAGAATATTTATACAGCAAGAAAAAGTTTGTTGCATTTCAACTTTAAAAACAAGATCAGAAAGTATCACATTTTCTTATGGTAATATTAATTTACTAGGTGGGTGTTATTACAGCTAAAGCCAGGTTTGCATTAATTTTTAAAGCCATAGTCTCTCAACTCCATTGACTGGGGTTAATACGAGTCTCACAAAAATCACATAGCAGACCAAATTAACTAGGGCCAATTTTAAAACCTCAAATTTATTTAAAAGCAATATAGGGCGCTGACTAGCAAAAGTCTGAACATGGCAAAGTATCAATTAACTGGGAATAGGAAATAGATTATTTATTTCCTCCTGTTAAGCAGAGAGAATATGGATTTAATTGTTTACCATAAGAAAAGTGACATATCCAACCAACCATCCATCCCCACCTGTGCCCTATTCTTTCCTTGTGTTTCTTTAGAGCCTTTTCAGCTATTTCCTGTGAAGCAAACTGCACGAAGGCCTCCCCCGTACTCCTCCCCTGGAAGTCCACCGGCAATGTTATCCCATTTGGCACGATTTCCAACCCTTCAACCCAAGGACAAATAACCCCAGTAGGGGGGCAATATTAACATCACAAGCCCAGAAATGATTCTTCTTATAGCTTTAAATAAACCAGAATTTTAACTTTAGGTGAATGGTATGTTTTCAACAAGTATTCTTTTAAATATGCATTGCAATAATATGAAGTTCCACTATTACAAAGTATAACTCAATTCTTAACACACCCCATGGTACAGTATGAATGTATAAAAAAAAAAACTGCTGCTCCACACAAGGTGCATTAAGAATTCAACAATTAAAAACACTCTTATCTATGCAATGTTGAAAAGTATACAAGAATTTAATATAATTTTCAAGCATTAAAATAACAGTTTTACTAAATTCAAGACACACCTTTTACCTCATTTTATATTTCAATGCTTTAAATTATTGGAACTTCAAAAAAAATTTTTTTTTACAAGTACACATTTAAACATTTCATAAAAATTGAAACATTACTTAAATCACATAATTGACAAACATACAATCTAAACTTTCAACAAACAACTATCTACACAGCACAATCATGCACTCTTATGCTCTAACAGTAGTATGATTCACTTCTGGAAATTCCGTCTATGAAAAATCCTTTCCGTGGATACATTCCCAAGCTTACAAAAAGGGCTTAAAGCACTTTCCTAGAAGATATGAAATTATGTTCATTTTTAACGTTGACAGATACATTCAATTCTCACCAATTTAGATAAAACAAAACAGACTTGATTTCAGAAATTCTGACAATATTAGGACTTGATACATATCTGAGTCAAAATTTTAACACATCCTACACTAAACCATGAAAGGATTTCTTGCTCTTAAATCCAATTTTATTATATCAAGAATATTAACAGTATTTAAAACATTATGAACTAACATTCTGCTAAACATGCAATCTTATCAGCTCTTCAGCATAAAAACATTCAAATACTTTAGGCCCAGAACAATTTCAAAGCTTTCTGTACTGTTTTTCAGGTACTGAAACTATAAGCATTCAACCTGTACTCAACTACATTTGACTTTTCAGTAACAGTTTATAATAGGCTAAACCAAGATGTTTCCATAATAATTTTCTGCATAGAGAATCAGACCATTAGAATTATTTCTGGTCTCATGTACCAAATAAGTGTCTTGAAATAAAGACACTTAACTCATAAATTACAACAACCTCACTCATTCTAATGTTAAAGAATCTTACCTTTAACTTGAAGTACTTTGCTAAACAGCAATGTAAGGGAGGTGGTTAAGCTGTTGAGGACAATCCTCAAAGATCTACTCTGAACTACAATACTAAATATAAGTAAAGTTAACATTTTGGTACTTCTAATTTCCACCTTTTTAAGATGGGCTTAAGTTATTTGAAGGTCTCTAGGAAGAAAACATTAATTCATCAGCATATACTCACAACCTATTTAAGTACCTAATCTAATCAATTTTAATTAATGTCTATTAAATAATCATGTTGCGAGAAGCTAGCCAAACTCACTACTCAGCAACAGGACTACATACCTGAGAAGAACTGAACAATTTCTTCCTTGCTACATCCAAAGGGGAGTCCTCTAAGCCGTACAAAGCCATCATTGGCCGTGTCAGGACTATTTGGACCAGTATGCTTCAACACCCAATCCATTTCAACGTTGTTTGACTTGAATACTGAAAGAGGTGCTTAGAATTAGTCAATTTTGGAAAATGATAGAACAAAGTTCAGATTTCCTGGGTCTTTAGATAAACTAAGAAGAGTTGCCATAAACTCCCTTAGATGACCATTTCCATGCGGTCAAATACCTAAAATTCAGAACAGGGTAAGAACTATGTGTTTAACATTTTACTGTTACTAGGGCAACATAAATCAAACCTTCAACATATCTGTGTCCCATAGTTTCTCTGTCTTTTTTCAGGGCCAATTTGACTTCATCTTCTGATTCAAGTTCAACAAAAGCCTCGCCACTCGGTCTGCCTTCTCTGGTGTAGATGAAACGAATACCTTGAGCCCCATTTTGAATTTTGCAGTCTGGAAAGAAAACAACCGTTAATACAGAATTTACACCTAAACTACCTGTGGGTGATACAGATGGAAGTGCCCATTTATGTCACCACTAAAAAGTAAGTTACTTGTGAAGCCTAAATGAAGATATTACCAACTCCCAGCATGTCTCTCGGCATTTAAGCATTCATCCTCTCATCATCCATGAAACTCATTCCCTAAATACATCTTAATTCAAGAAAACCCAATATTCAAAGCAGGTTCGTAATCAAACTCATCTCTAACGCTTGGTACTCAAGTCTCATCATTCTTAGAACTTATAACAAGATCACATCTGGACCTTGGGACTTTACAGCATTTTCTGAACACATCAGATTAAGTTTTGGTCCAACCAATTTGACAGTTTTACAGCTGACAGTTTACAGTTTCTCAATCAAATCCAATGCAGGCCCAATACTCACCTGAAAGGGGATCATGTTACCAAGCTAAAATGCTCCAAGTTGCACAGCTGAAACCAAACCCAGTCTTGCCCCCTGCAAAAGTGGCTTCCAGTATACTTGATTCTTGTATTACAGGTCGTTTTCTGTTACCGTAGCTAAATTCAGATAGTAAGTCAATACTACAAGAATCTTTTCCAAAATTTGAAAACTTCTTCCAAATATAACTCAAGTCTACTCTTACTAATACCAGGAACAAGAAGATTCCAGGAGAAATTATTCAGAAAAGCTACATACAGTTGTTTAAAAAGAAAAAAAAACTACACAACTAAGAAAACATCCCTGGGCTTCACAAACCTCAATTGTAAAGGGAGTTAAATAAAGAAGCAGACGTGGACTGGGGTTGTAGCTTAGTGGCAGAGCGCTTGCCTAGCATGTGTGATGCACTGGACTGGGATCCTTAGCAACACATAAAAAATTCAACAAAGGCATGCTGTCCATCTACAACTACAAAAAAAACTTTTTAAGTAGTAGACGAGCAGGAACTCTTCATTTACCAAATCTCAATTAGGAAAACTAAAATTAGAAAGTGACCATTTTAACTTTTCCCAATAAAAATACCCCTTTCCAAACACCACCAAAATCAGAAAACAATTATACTTTAAATTACTATAATTTGCCCAGCTATTACTAGTCTATTTTCTCAAGATTGAGGGGGAAAATCCCACTTATCCAAATCGACATTTTAGAAAGGACATCCACAAGAGAGGAGTTGTTTTAAGATCGAAAAAAAGAAAGAAAAACTCCAGTGGGCAGCACCCCCATCCGGGGGAGGGGGGGCGAAGAGAACGGGTGGAGCTTTCACAATTTCCATTGCGTAACAGCGGCCCGCTGGGCGAGAGCAGCACAGAGGGAACCGCTACCGCCCGCGCCCCGCCAGGGGGCGCCACCCGCAAGGCCCACTCGCCCCGCCCCGCCCCGGACCAGCCCAGCCCAGCCCAGCCCAGCCCAGCCCAGCCCCAGCCGCAAGCCGGCCCGCTCGCCAGCCCGCCCGACAGTGGGGCTGACAACTCCCGCCTCCTGTTTCAAACTCACCGGAAAAAAAACGTTGCACTTCATCGGCCGAGCAAGACCAGGGCAAGCCCCGGACCTTAACCACGAATCCTTCTCCGCCTTCGGTGCCCAACATCATGGTCTCTTTGAGGATCCTGGCGTCGAAATAGACTGTAAGGCGGGTTATGAGGATAAAACCTAAGAACGTTAACCAAATGACCCTCCACCGTCGGAGCGCCGCACGGGAACCAGAAAGGTGTCAGGAGCTCCACCCGTGCAGATACCTTAACCCACTCCAATACCCCACACCATCGGCCAAGGATCCGAACCCCGAAGCCGTTTGGGGAACAAAGTGCCCAAACTCCAAGCCGAAGGGACCCCGGCCTAGAGCCAGCGTGGAGGCAAGGAAATGGCGGCGGCCGCTTCCGCTCCGCCTCCTCCGACATCTCACACAATAGAGTCGTCGCGGCCTGCAGGCCTCGGCGGCGCTGCCAAGGCTCAGCGAAATTTCCGCGGCATTTAGCGGCACTTCACAGCTTGCCAAAGGCCCCCAGGCTCTACCAGAGCCTTAGGAGTCAAGCAATCCCCGCAAAAAAGAGCATAATTGGGTGTCGCTGGGCGGCAAACAAGGATCCGCGGAGACTCACCTACACACACAACTTCGGCGTGGCTAAGAAGAAATGGCCAGCGGGCGCCTGCGCAACCTAAATAAGGCCCTTTGAACAAGTTCTGCGCACGCGCAACCAGCTCCCTGCACCGCCCCTTGCATCACACAGCAACTAGGCGCATGCGTAATATATACAGTGGGCCCACCTTCGGCAGTCAGACGATTTTGCGCATGCGTTTTTGGCTCAGCCTCCGGCTTCGTAAAGGTGCCGGGCTTTTTATGCGCCTGCGTCTTCCCACAGATATTGAACTTGGAGCCTCAGCGGTTTATAACTTAGTTTCCTGCGCATGCGTTTTTCTTCGAACCGTTCTCTAGTCCTACCCGCCAGAGTGGGGGAGGGGAATGGCGTCAATCAGTTCCCTATGGGGACTGTATGGTAGTCCCAAGCTCAGGCTTGTCGCGAGATAGCTGTCCTCCTATTCCCCTTGGTTTTATCCGCGCTCCTGGCCAACCTGAAAAGACAGGCGCGGACTTCCTTTTCCCCAAGCTACTTGTCCCCTTTTCTTCTCTAGAGCCAGCCTTAGCTACCCTGCTGCAGACTTCTTGTCCCCAAAGCCACCCCCGACTTGTAGCAAGTCCAAAGCGTGTGTACTACTTCCCCTTACCAGCAGCCATAAGGCCTAAGGCCGCATCCTCCACAGCATCCTTGTGCCCATGCCAAAGCCAATACCCCGCTTTTGCTTAACGAATTCACACGGGGCGACCCCCCCACCCCCGCTCTGCCCCAGGGTTGGTGGGGCCTGAAAGCCACGGGGCCCTCTCACGAGATGGGATCACCCAGTGCCACGTCCTGCCTCGCCTCGTGAACCCAGGATGAGCTTGCAGGTGTGTCTGGACGCTGCTGGGGAGACAGTTACCATTTACTCTTTCCAAAACTGATTCCATTTCCAAGGTAGAGACACAGTTCACGAAGAGGCCTCAGGGTCACCCGCTGTGCCCATGTGGCGCGAGATCAGAAGAGTTTGTGATTTCCATCAGGACCACCGAAAACTAATATGATGCCCCTACCTTCCCAAGCCTCCCCAGAGTCTGATCCGGCTGTCTGCCGCCCCCCAGCCCTGGTAGACGCAAGCAACAAACTAACAGTAAGTCAGTGTTGGACAGTGCTGCAGAAGTACCACAGTTAGTGACCCTCGGGTCACCCTGGGAAGAGGGGTGCAAAAAGTGTTTCCCTCGGGAATGTAAAGGTGTGAAGGCCAAGTCCGGAACTGTTTTAGTAAGACAAAAGAACTCATCAAAGGACAGATAGGAATGCAGGGCATGGTGGCCATGACGGGAGGATCACCAGTTCAAGGTAGAGGACCGAAAGTTCGATGTCAGCCTCAGCAATTTGGGCTGTGGATGTAGCTCAGTGGTAAAGTGCCCCTGGGTTCAGTCTGCAGTACCAAAAACAAAGATCAAAAAGACTGTGCGCGGTGGCACACGCCTGTAATCCCAGCCTCTCGGGAGGCTGAGACAGGAGGATCACGAGTTCAAAGCAAACCTCAGCAAAGGCGAGGCTGAGCAACTCAGTGAGACCCTGTCTCTAAATTAAATATAAAATAGGGCTGGGAAATGTAGCTCAGTGGTTAAGTGCCCCTGAGTTCAATCTCCTTGACCAAAAAAAAAATAGGAGTCCAAAGATAGAGGCAGAGCTCCATATAAGTCTTTAACAAGAATCCATATGCACAAGAAGCTATCCCAGGACTTCAGCAGGGGAACCATAGAACTCTTTGTAACACGAAGTTACTGGGTGTGAAAGAGATAAATGGAACAGGCAGGAGGAATGAAGGTGCATACACTAAACTGCAAAAAGCACTAGAAGCAGAAGACATTTTTGCTGAGGTCATCAAGATGCCAGACTCCCAGGTCTTCCAGCCAGGAGGTATATCCCCGGACATTCAAAGCAAGAACACTTTTTCTCCTTCCAGGATTTCACATACACCTTTCTCCTCCTCCTCATTTATTTATAGAAGATAGATAGATAGATAGATAGATAGGAGTGAATCCAGGGGCACTCAACCACTGAGCCACATCCCCCCAGTCCTTTTTTTGTGTGTGTATTTTATTTAGAGACAAGATGTCAAAGAGTTACTTAAGGTCTCGCTAAGTTTGAGAGGCTGGCTTTGAACTTGCAATCCCCCTGCCTCAGCCTCCCCAGCTGCTGGTATTACAGGTGTGCACCACCACACCCAGCTCCTACACTTCTTAGTAGGTTACAGCATTTGAGTGCTTTGGTTTTTATCAGATTACCTAAGAAAACTGTTTTCTGATTAGATGAGGGGAAAACCCTAATCCCCTTGGTAGTGCATTTTTTTAAAAAATGCCATCATGCCATGTGCATGGTGCATGTTTGAAATCCCAGTGACAGGAGGGTGAAGTAGGAGGATCACAAATCTGAGACAAGACCAGCCCCAGCAATTTAGTGATATCCTGTCTCAAAAATTTTTTAAAAAAGAGATGTGGGGACTGGGGATGTGGCTCAAGCGTTAGCCCGCTCGCCTGGCATGCATGCGGCCCGGATTCTATCCTCAGCACCACATACAAACAAAGATGTTGTTTCCGCCAAAAACTGAAAAATAAATACTAAAGAATTCTCTCTCTCTCTCTCTCTCTCTCTCTCTCTCTCTCTCTCCCCCTCCCTCCCTCCCTCCCTCCCTCTCTCCCTCTCTAAAAAAAAAGAGCTGTGGATGTAGCTCACTGGTAAAGTACCCCAGCGGGTTCAATCCCCAATACCAAAAAAAAAGGAAAAAAAATCATTTTCACCTGGCATGGTGTACCAAATGCTGCAGAGGCTGAGAAAGGAAGATTGCTTGAGCCCAGGAGTTCCAGACCAGCATGCGCAATAAAGGGAAGAGACTCTCTCTAAAGGAGAAAACAATCTTTTTCCCTTTTAACAACATAGCCATAGTCCTAAGATGTTTATTTTTCCTAAAATTTTTCTAAAGTTTTCTGGAATTTTATTCCATAATAAGATTAAATAGGGCAAGTTTTGTGGCTCTAGTGGTAGCACACTTGCCTTGCACATATGAGGTCCTGGGTTCAATCCTCAGAACCACATTAAAATAAATAAAATAAAGGTATTATGTCCATCTACAACTAAAAATATTCTTTATAAAACAGTAAATGTGGGGCTGAGACTGTAGCTCAGTGGTAGAGCACTCACCTCATATGTGTGGACCACTAGGTTCGATCAGCACCACATAAAAATAAAATAAAGGTATTGTGTTCATCTACAACTAAAAAATAAAAAATAAATTAAAAAAAAAAAAAGAATAATGGTGGGCCGGGGTTGTGCCTAGGGGCAGAGTGCTTGCCTAGAATGTGTGAGGCACTGGGTTCGATTCTCAGCACCACATATAAATAAATAAAATTAAGGTCCATCAACAACTAAATATTTTTAAAAAGAGTAAATGTATAATCATCATAGAAAGATAAGATAATTTCCATAGAATAGACTTCTAAAAGTGAAATTATTCAATGGAAGACTCTGAGTATTTTTACTACTAATAAAAAGTTATAGCACTTTACAATCTTTTCTGTGATATGTGAGAGTTCTGCAACCCCCTTTTAGCAGACACTGAAATTTTTCCTCTAATCTTTGCTAATTTAATACAAAGAAAAACCTTCTATTTGCATATGTTCGATTACTAGTGAGTAATCATACATAAATGTCATAGATACAGCCAATTTTCTCTTACATAAATTGACATTTTAAAAAACGGTTTCTCATATAAAGTTTGACTTCTTCTTAGCAATCTTTTGATATTGCTTCTCATGCTACAAAGAGCTCTTTATTAAGATTATTAATGCCCCAGTTTTTCTGTCTTTTTTTTAACTGAATGCTTAGTTCAGAAGTCATCATTTCATTTTTTTAATATCTTTATTTTTTTATGTGATGTTGAGGATCGAACCCAGGGCCTCACACATGCTAGGTGAGTACTCTACTGCTGAGCCACACCCCAGCCCTGTTTTTTTTTTTTTTAATATATACATATATTTTAGCTGTCAACAGCCCTTTATTTTATTTATTTATTTATTTGTGGTGCTGAGAATCGAACCCAGTGCCTCACACATGCCAGGCAAGTGCTCTACCACTGAGCCACAATCCCAGCCCTTTCTTAGTCTGTTTAACTTTTAATTGCTGTTATTATTTTATGTTGCTTTTTTTTTTTTTTACTGGGGATTGAACCCAAGGGTGCTTTACCACTGAACCACATCCTCGGGGCTTTTTATTTTTTGAGATAGGGGTTCACTAAGTTCTCTAGGGCCTTTAAGTTCTTAGGGCCGCCCCAAATTTTTTAATGTTTAGACATACAAAATCTTCTAATTTTGATGACAGCAAAGCCATTGATATTTGTCTGTTGTTTTTTCTTCTGTGCTGGAGATTGAACCAGCACGTCACACATGCTAGGCAAGTGTTCTACCACTGAGCTACATCCCCAGCCCTGAGATTTTTCTTTAAGCTTAGGAAGCCCTTTCCATCTAGAAATGAAGCACTTCTTTGTTATATTTTTCATCAGTTATAAGACACACTTTTTTTTTCAGTTTAACCTCTTCAAAAAAGATTTTTTTTTTGTACCAGAGATAGAACCCAGGGGTGCTTAAACACTAAGGCACATGCACAGCTCTTTTGAGTCTTTATTTTGAGACAGGGTCTTACTAAGTCACTTAGGGCTTCACTAAATTGCTGAGGCTGACCTTCAACTTGTGATCCTCCTGCCTCAGCCTCCCAAACAGCTGGGATTACAAGCATGTGACACCACACTTGGCTAAAATAAGAATATGTCTTAAAACTAATGGCAGGGCTGGGGCTATAGCTCAGTGGTAGAGTGCTTTTGGTATGTGAAGCCCTGGGTTCAAATCCTCAGCACCACATAAAAATAAATAAATATAATAAAGGTTTTGTGAAAAAAAAATCTAAAAAAAAAAACTAATGGCAGAATTTCTTCTTAGTGCAACATAAAATAATAGTGAGTTTAAAATTGATGACATCTGCTAGGCATGATGGTGCCCATCTGTAATCCCAGGAGTTTGGGAGGCTGAGGCGGGAGGATCAAAGTTCAAGACCAAATTCAGCAATTTAGCAAGACCCTAAGTAACTAAGACCTCATCTCAAAATAAAAACTAA